CTTCAAGCAGCTCTCTTTCCTCGCCTTCGGGCAGAGGGATCCGCACATCGGGCTGGAGGGGCGGAAGGCCGTAGGCTTCTGGCTTGAACACCTTCGAATCAACGTTGAAATGCCGAGCAAGCTTCCGGTAGATGTTGGCTTGAGTAAAGTACTCACCACCTTCGTAGTAGCTCTTCCCCTTTCGAGCTAGCCACATTGCCCCGGGGCCACCAACCCAGTTGTCGACACTTTCCTCGACCACCGAGGACAGCCATTGTTTGTGCTCTTCAGCCCTCCATCCCTCGGCAATAAAGGCGGCGACGGCTTCCTTCTCAGCTTGGGCAACGGCCTCCTTCTTGACCGCTTCGGCCCCCTCGGCGGCGACCCGGGCGGCTTCGGCGGCGGCCCTCTCAGCGTCCGCCTTGCCCTCGGCTCTGGCGACCACCTTGTTATTTTCAAGGATTTGGCTAAAGGCCTCTTGTTCCAGCCGAAGGGCTTCCCTAGCCTCGCGAATCTGCCTCCGGGAATCTGCCAGGGCCTCATCGGCTTGCCGCTTCTGGGCCTGTGATTCCTCCAACCTCTTGAGGAGCTCACCAAGTCCGAGGGCAGCCTGCAAAATTGAATCATCAAACAACGAGGGTCAAAGCTCTGAAATCGAAATATGCCAAGCAAACGTACTAAGTCGAGAGAAAGAGGAGAAAAATCTTACAGTGACGGAGGCTTGTAGGACCTTACTGCCGAGGGCGTCGTCCTTCAGCCTGGACAGTACCGACTTATCCGTCGGGGGAGTGGCGCCGGTCAAGAACTCCCTCGGGTTGAGGGTGCCATGCATAATTGCGGTTCCCTTTGTGATAGAGAACTGCACATGATCCTGAGGCCATGCTAAATCGGCTCCCTGACCCGGAGGGGGATTAGAAGCGGCAATCACCCTCGGCGTACCGGAAGAGGAATGGCCTTCAGATATAACCACTGGCGCCCCCTCCGCACCAACGGTCTTCTTGGCCTTCTTGCCGGAAGCCTCAGAAGCTTTTGACGGGGCCTTCCTCTTGGCCGCCTCGATCTTCAGGGCACCATCACCCTCGGCGATAGCTTGAGAGGGCCCCTCGGCCCCCTTAACCTTCACGGCTTCCCCCTTCGGGAAGAAGTCCTCAACAGGCCTCTGCTGGGATGGGCCCTCCTTCTTCTTCCTCGGCTCCTTGGCCAACTGTTTCTTCAGCTTGGCAAAGTTTTTAGCGTCCATTTCCGGGCCTGTAAAAGAAGGGAAACATATACAATCGTCAGAATACAACAATGATTGAAAGAAAATCCTAAGTACACAACTAGGAGCCCCCGAAATTCACCTTCGGCACTCTCATAGACCCTGTCTATCAGTGGGTACTCATCATCGGCCTCCCCCACCAAACGAAATCGCCGAAAGCCCAGCTTGAGAAGTTCCTCCGGAAGGGTGGCTTCCTTGATGGTCTTCAGCTTGTCGGACCCCTCCGGTTTCTCTGCCAATCTCTTCCCATTCTTGGCGAGGACGGCGCTTCCAACCTTCGGGTGCCTCTTGAAATTATCTCGGAGGGGAGCAGCGAAAGGGTTGTCCGCCAAGCGGATATAACAGAACTTGTCCTTCCATCCCTTGTGGGATGAAGGAACCTCGGAGAAAAGCCTGAACTCAGGGACCTGCTGCAAATTGGCGAAGCCCCCGGCATTTGAATGTCCCCCCCGGCATAAATTAAAAGAGAGGAAGAATTGATCCAGGGTGGCCTCCACGCCCCTACTTCGGCAAAGGGCCAAGAACCCCGCGAGGTACGAATGACTGTTGGGAGTCAGTTGGCAGGGGGCGAGCTTGACAAAGCGGAGGTATTTGAGCACGAAGGGGTGTAGTGGAAACCGGAGACCCAACTCCACCGACAAGATATGAACAGCGAAGCAGCCTTCGGGGGCACGCAACAACACGTCGTTGGGCCCCGGTTCCACCACCTGCGCTGAAGGCCCGGCGAAGAACTGTGTCGCCATATACTCCGCATGCGTAGCCTTCGTCTTCACCTCTAAGGCAGCGGTGTTCAGGTATGAGTGCCCTTCGGGTATTCCCACCGGCCTCCCAGCATCGACGGCTGCTTGTTTCTTCTTCGAGAGCCCCCGGATCTTCTTCTTCTTTTTACCCGGAGCCACACTTAGAGGTTCCGGGTCTAGTGGCTTGGAGCTTCCGGCCTCGGCGTCATTACGAGCAGGCGGGACGGCAATGGTGACCTTCAGCCTCTCCTTCTCCTCCTCCTCTTCGGCCACTTGGACTGCGAGGGCCAGCTCCTCGTCCTCATTCACTTGCTCGAAATCTTCGGCCTCCATCTCAGCCCGGAGAGCGTTTTGTACTTCCTCGGCCACCACGTGGTCATCGTTGGTCGATAGCGTCTCACTCGAGGATTCCACCTCGGATACGCTCTCGGACTGCACCGAAGGCTCCTTGGAGATATCCTGGGAATCGCTTTGCGAAGACATGTTCGGAGACTAGGACTAAGGGGTTTTCGAAGAGAGGGCTCCCTAGATAACTCTAGCACTAAACCTACAGCCAAGGAAGTAAAATGCGCTAAGGAAGGATGAAGCAGAAGAGTGCACTGACCTTAAAGATTGGTTTCGACTGAGGGCTGAACTTTCTCTCTCTAGAATCAAATTGCCAGAGCTTTGTTATCTCTCAGAAACGCGCAAAGGAGAATGGCTCTGGCCTTGGGGTATTTATAGGCAACTGGGCCTCGAGAACTGGGCCTCAACTCGAAAGCCCATCATTACGAGCCTCCGCCTCAGCCAATGGGTGGTACCCCGCCCACCTTCGGCCAACTGGAGCACGCCACGTGGCTCCCGCCTCCAACGGCTATGTCACAACGGCTCTATTTTAGAAACTCTTGAGGCAACCTTTGATGACAGCCTCTGGCTATTACTGATGAAGCCTTCGGTGAACACATGTCACCAAGTACCCTCGGGCAAGCTGCAGTATAAGCCTCTGGTTATCACTCACCGCAGCCTTCAGGCAACGAATTCCACCAAACGCCCTCGAACCAGTAGCAGCATAAGCCTTCGGCTTATCAATGTTACCACCCCTCGGAGGACTCATCAACTCATCATAACTCCTTCAGCCCGAACTTGCCTTCGGCCTAAAGGAGTGGGGGACTGGGATACACCCCTCGGGAATCATGCAGGACAAAAATTCCTCATGCAAAGATTTGCAATTGACGCATGTAGCATCCGGGTGAACATCAAAGCAGAAACTTTCGGGTACATACTTCAACACACCCTTCGGCAGAGGTAGAGTATCAAAATTTTTCTCCGAGTCACTTTGCGGAAATAAAGCAACCCTCATCACAACACACGCAGGCAATACATCCATGCTTTCCTCAGAAAACCCTCGACATGTGAGGGACGGAGGAAAGCCTTCGACGGTTATACAGGTGTTATACTTCCCTCAGAAAACCCTCGACATGTGAGGGACTGAGGGAAGCCTTCGGCAATCAGCAGAAGGCAAGTTCTCAAGCAAGGGCGCCCAACCAAACGATGAAGCCTCCAGAAGAATCAACACTCTCTCTCCTCCTATTTACAGCAAGGGCGCCCAACTAAATGGATTAGTTCATTTAATAAATCGACTCTCTCTCCTCCTATTTACTCTGACTTCTCTCTAACTTATTCCCGCAATAACCCCTCGGATAAGATACCCCCCGGGTAGACTAATCCATCAAAGTTAAATTCTAAAAAAGTGATTACTCTTATATATGCACAAAAATGTGACTAAAAGTGTAATAAAATTGAAAAGTCATAATGTCACTACAAGTTTAATGTCATTAATTGTTTTTTATATCACTACTGCCAGCGTACAATTATTGCCACTACGTACTATGTATATCAATGTGACCACAAAAAAATCCAACGACCTTTGCGGCTTTGCGGCAGACACTGGAGGCAGTAGTGGAACATGGGGTGAGGTGGGTGGGGACAGGATAGGTGATTGGATAGGAATTAAAATTAAAAAAAAAAAACATATACTAATTAAACAAAGATAAGGAAAACTGATCATATTTTTGTCTTTTGAGATAGTCGGTAATATTTTTGCCATTTATTCATTATAGTACCTTCATCAAGGTAACCAGTGCAAAAAAATAAGAATGCATAAACTTCCCGAATTCCCTTGATCCTTGATTGATGTCAACAGTGAGAGGGTGTAAGACTTCGGTAATGAGACTAAATTTTATCAAAAAAGACATTCATGAAAGAAGTCTAATATGATTATTCAAAACTAATGTTGTTCTCTTTTTCCCTCTAATCGGGTTTTCTTTGGAACAATTTCTCTTTATAATTGGCGAGGTTTTACTTTGGAATTTTCTAGTCTGGCTTGATTTGATCTGGTAAATGTTTAATCTTTGTGTATTTTATAACTGTCCAAGTCTGGTCTGATATGATATGGTTTGGGAGCAAAAACAGTCCAAATAAAAACATCCTCAGCACGGGAAGCGATGCTGAATGAAATTACTAGTGTGCCCTCTACTATCATTAGAGAGCAGAATATATATGAATCATAATATGTAAAGGACCGGCCAGTAATAGGCATGGCCTCGGGTTGGGTCGGGCCTAGGCCCGGCCGGGCTTTTTATGGTTGGGGGAAGGCCCGGGACCGGACCGGGTTTCCACCGGGTCCGATTCGGTCCGGACCGGGCCTCGGGCCGGTTTACATTTTTTTTCTTTCCTAACTACCCCCTGACTCCCCCCCCCCCCCCCCAAACCCCCCCCCCCCCAAAACACCCAGCCCAACCCGGGGGAAACCAAAAAAATTGATAAAACCAAAAACAAAAAAAAAAACAAAAAAAAAAACACATTTTGGCCCAAACCGGGCCGGGTCACCTTTTCTTCAGCCCGAGCCCGCACCCGCTCCTACCTATGATCCGGGTCAAAGACCGGTATCGGGCCCAAAGCACCGGGCCGGACTGGTCCTGCACAGTAGTGGGCCGGGCCGGTTCCCGGGCCTGGTGGCCTGAACCGAGTCCAAGACAAGCCAGTAAACGTTGGATTGTAGTTTCTCCCACAACATAAATAATATATTTTCTCATTTTTATATTAAAACCATTACAGTACATGAATGCTCTAAAAAGAAGAAACCATTCACAGATGGAAGTAAAGGTTATAAAACATGATGATTCCTTTACATTCTGCTGTCAACAAAAATGGAAGCGACTGTTTGACTATTTCTTCTCTATTTACATCACATCATGTGGTATATAGCTTGCTCCTGTTAATTTGCAGGGATCAGCTCAGAGAAGAAAATTCATGTCTTCAAAGGTATTACTGTGGATGAGGAAGGTCGATGATCTTATCCTCTGCTGCATTGCTGCAAACCAAAAGAAAAATCAATGAGCATCACTATCCTGCAGATATTGGAAACAAATAAAATTTTAACACAAAAATCCATAATATAATCATTGAGCATGCACAATAACATCTTTACCCAGAGTTGCTCAGAGCAGACATTCTGTACAGGCAGGTGAATACTAGGACGTGCAATCCAATCGTATAGAAGAATGCAAAAGTCCGAGCATATCTGCGGCAATAAAGTGTGTAGAGTTTCATGGCCAGGGATGAGCAAGGGAAATTTGTGACTCAAAATCGTTCTAAGAAATGTTATAAATCTTTTAATTTGATGATTCTGATGTTGAACACAGAACTGCAAACTTGGAATATTTTAATCTTACTGAGATTAATTACAACCACGAGCAATGGGGAAAAGTGATTTCTGACAGAGCAGCTTAATAGTTTTCTAGTAATAAGTATGTCGAAATTACTAGCAGAGCATATGTTATAAAGCTTAACCATTACTAGCAGATCATCTTAATAGTTTTCTACTAATGAGTATGTCGAAATTCCCGCACAAGCCAAAGCAGCACTAAGTAATACAGTGGCAATTTAGCATTTCATCATAGTAAGAGGTGAAATAAAAACACTAGAATAGAGAAGCTTACTTGTTCCCTAGGAGGAAACGCCCACTACTTAGAGTTATTTTATCCCTCAAACCCAACTCCTTGTATCTCTGATCTCTTTCCTGTTAGTGGTACTCAAGCTCATGAGATGGCAATCCATGATAAGTGAAAGCATAGGAGAGAGGAGCCAAAGGGGCAAGCAAGAGAGAGAAAATAAAAGTAAACTTCAAGGGTTTCCATATCCTGCATAATGTCAATTAGGAGAGGAAGGTGAAATGCAGTTTTTGACACGGTGAGGGATGGCAAACCTTCTTTGAGAATGCAGCAAATGGATTTATGTCATCCTCATACATCTTCTTGTACTTAGATTCCACATCAGAGCCAAAGCCGCTTTCTACATCTTCTGCATACTGAAAATGAACAAGCCCCCCATTTGAGTAGGAAGACCCTAAACCTAAAAAAAAGATATAGGAACGACAGAAGCTGATGCAAATAACCTTCTTTGATCCTCTTGAAATAACCCTTTCAGCGTTGTAATCCTGAACATATCGGATCTTTTCATAAAGTTTGACATTGTCAGCTTTGGTTTTCTCAAGTTCTGCTGTCAAAACCCCAATTTTCTCCTTCAACTTCCTTATTTCCTAGAGCAAGAAGAATTTTAGCGAAAAAAATAATTAGGTGGGTATCTCATGTAGAGAGCTTGAGAAAATCTATAGAAAACAAAAAATTGCACCAAGTGGAATTTCAAAAATGACAAAAAGTAAAACCTCCTCTGTCTCTTGCAAGCGTGCCCGGAAGCGATCTCGTTGGTTGCATATCACTTTAAACATTGAGCTTTGATCTTGGTCCGAAGAAATGTGCCTTAGTTCTATGCTCTGTGTGAGGATGAAGACTAAACACGATCAGTAGTCAAAGCATTATCATGAAGCAAGGGACAAAGGCATGTCTATGGCAAATGACTTGAACATATCCAGTAGTCAAAGCATTACAGTCGCTCTCATTTTTTGTATGTGGAATTCATTCCCCCCAAGTTTGTTCAATTAAGCACATATTGGAGTAAGTGGACTGACCCACATAATCCCAATTTTCAGCAAATCTAGTGATGTAACAGGGATTAAAGATTCAAATCCCAAAGAATTGGTGGCACTTGAAAAGTGAGCACACGATTGAAACCCTACTATAAAGGATTTTTAGCCACTCCATGACTTCGTATATTCATCATTTTTGCACTCCTCTTTTCCTTCAAAAAGTGTTAATTGCTGATAATAATATTTGGTACTCTATTTTGCACATTTGATATACTATGACCAGAACAAAGAAACAATTGAGAAGTGCTATGAGAGATTAAAAAAAACGTGAACACAGCAATTAAATAGATGGATTTAGGATACCCAACTGTGTTGTAAGACCGTAAGAGTAACAAAACTGTTGTACAAGAATGGAATGGGAATGAGAACTTAAGATGGAGCGATGAGCTACAGTTGGACTGCAGCACAAGAATCGCACCATCTTCCTTCGGATAAGGTTTGTTTTAAGTGTATATTTGGAAAAGGGGGTTAGTTTTTCAGTTCAGAAACTAATGATTTGAATTGAGAAATATTCAAAAGAAACTTATAAAAAGATAATCCACTTGAAGGGTTATTGCTAACCCAGGTAGAGTAGTAGTGAGAAATAGCTATAAAGTAATGATAAACATAAGTGTCCCTATGGCTATCCGTATGAACACGTCATGATGATGTAAGCATGGCATATGTGAGAGGCGTGGTGATGTTAGCATGAATTAGAGTGACCTCAGCCCTGATGTTCCTTGCTGAAATACTGATTTTGGCTGAGTATGTGATGACTGATGAGTACCCGGGGCTGAGGAGGGAAGCTAGCTCCCTCAGCCTCTCCTGATGAATAACTGAGTCTGAGGGGGGAAGTTAGTTCCCTCTGCCTCGTCGAACCTCCTAGGCCCAAGGCTCTGGCTTCTCTGGACTTGTTTGGGAACCGAGGCGGGAAAAGATTGCCACGGCCTCACCAAGTTTCCTTGGTCCAGTCAAATCTGCGAGGCTCTTTCACTGTTTATTTCATTGAGCCTGGGTGTTGATGGTAATATATTCCATTACCACAATAAACTCAATGTCCTTGTAAGTTAATTATTACCACAAGCCATATACTCCCTCCATTCCATTTTATGGGCCCATAACTTTTGCGTAAATAGGTTTACATGTCAATCAATAGAATGTCATCATCATCATCATTACCCCAGTGCCGCAAAGACTCCCACCTACGGTGGGGTTAGGGGGGTCGGATGTACGCAGCCCTACAGAGAGACTAAGAAAATTTGAAAGCTAGGGTAGTCCAAAGAGAAAAGTGGACATTTACAGGAAACTTCAGAAGGAGGGATTATAATTCTCTTTAAAAAAATATCCCTCCCCTCCGTTATCCACCAAAGGCTATTCGGAGCTTTGTACATAAGTATCACATTCATCTAAAGCAATCTACTAAATATAATGGTCTTTTATAACAAGAGGAGAACAAGAACTTATGTGGAACCCAGAAAAGTAAGCAAGCTTACATCAGAAGGCTCTGCTCTTGTAGACTCTGAAAGGTCCCAATCATCAAATACCATACTCTTCTTTTCTTGTATTGAACTGTATCCCTGCATTTAAGTAAAATGCAAAGTTGCTTGTGAAGTGAAAAACATAGAAATTACAAAGTAGATCACCACGAGCATTCGTAATATACTAATTTTTCAGATGAAGATATAACTTTTAGCTTTGGCAAGTAATCCAGCAATTGCCACACCCATCAGATGTCTTATATTAGCTTTGATATGCTCCTATTTTCCTATTCCTTGTTTCGATGTTAACAAATAATATACTACTAACAATATCTTAAGTAAATGCAGGTTAACTATTTGATGCTTTTGTAAAGGTTGAAGATAGGCTTACAAATCCTTAAGAGCCATATTGTTAAGGATTGTTTATTAAATTTCTTATGGTGCTATGATCGAGCTTTGACGAGGTCAGAGAATTTCATAGATTTCTAAATCCAGCTGGAGGAGACTTTGGCCAGCCAATGTTTAAAAGGCGCTTTTAAGCCTTGAGGTGTTTGGCATTTACCGTGCAAGGCGTCAGCCTCAAGGGAGTCAAGGCAGTTTGAGGTGTAAGCCTCAAACATTATACATAGTACTAAACTTCCTTTAGCAATGTAAAAGATATTATCAACCATACATAATAATGAGTCATAAGCTTGAGGGGGAGTGTTGAAACCCTAACCCTAGTAATCATACATAAAAATAAGTCATAAGCTTGAGGGGGAATGTTGAAAATTGAAACCCTAACCCTGGTTGTCTTGGACTCGCCCACTTTGTGTAGTTAGCCCTAACGGTAGCTATAAATATGGCTATAGTTGTAATCCTTTAATACATCAGTAATAAGAATGTGAGTTATTTCACAGTTCTTTTGGTAACATGATATTAGGATAAAGAAAGAGATTCTCCTAAAAGTTAAAAACATACATTGTATTGGTTAGAACTAGAGCTTGAAGAATTTTTTTCCAAATTTATTAGTATTGGTATGGTATTGTCCCTACAGAACAAAAAGGCTATGGTACCAACTACCAAATTGTTCCAAACCCTAAAACGCTACAGTACCGAACCATTTGAAACCTCATGGAACAGTACGGGTTTTTGTAATTTACTGGACTGTCCCGGACCTCGCCACACTAATGGGCAAAAAAAAATGGAAAAAGCCCTGCCTGAACCCATTTTTCTACAGATCTAAGAAGAATGTTTGGCAAATATATTTTAGGTTTTTGGGCGATACTTACTGCTTATGCCTTATTAAGTTACGGCCTCACAGCCAGAAAAAGGCACCTTGAAGCCTGTGCCTCAAGGTATACACCTCAACTGTTCTGTGGACTAAGCCTCTTAACTTGCAATAGAGGCCTACACCTCAGTACCTATTTTAAACGCCTCAATTTGATGCATGCCTCAAAGTGTGCCTCTTAAATGTCAATTAAAACCACGTGGGCAGTGAATGTAGGGTTAGCCGAACCATCTTAAAATCGTGGTGTTAACGAAAGCACAAGCTTACACACTTCAAGGACCAAACTCAGGCTCTAAGGATGTTTTTACTTTGACTGTTTTCAGTCCCGGACCAGATCAAATCAGATCAGACTTGGACAGTTATAAAATACACAAAGACCAGACATTTACTAGATCAAACCATTTAAGAACAGACCAGACCAGAAAAATTCCACTCCAAGTAAAAACTTCCTAATACTCAAACAAGGCGTGTGGAGTCTTCCAAGCCCAGCGAAAAAACAAATCAAATGATTAGCCTTTTCCTTTATGGATTTAACGATATTGAAACTGTCATTCCATTCCCAAATGATCTCTAAAGTAAATCTGATTCACCACCGCCAAGAGTGAGCAACTGACACCTTTCAAACTAGTAATCTTTTATTACTAAAAAACAATGGGAAAAGGCAATGCCAAAGCATGCCTAGATGTGAAAGCACAATAACTTAAGCATGACCATCAATGGCAAGAGAAAGGTACAGATTTTTATTTAGACCAGATTCTTTAAGTAGGTTCTGAAGTTTTAAAAATTATTTTTACTAGCGCTGAATTTGTATCTAATCGTAAAAAACAAATGATGTGTTGTTTTGTATGTCATCATCATCATTACCCTAGTGCCGCAAAGTCTCCACCTACGGTGGGGTAAGGGGGGTCGGATGTACGCAGTCTTAACTCCTGTACTCAAGCACAGAGAGACCGTTTATGGATGACCAATAGTGAAAATCGCGTCCAAAATTGCATGGACTGACCATTGCTTCATAACAAAGAAGCGCAGACAGTTAAGTGAGCCATTTTGCTTTATTCCATCATATTCTCAAGCCAAAAAATAGTGAGTCTTTGGCTCCATTGCAAATGATGGAAAAATGTGCTGTTTTGTATGTGTAGTTCTTTATTGTTTAAAAAACTACATATTCATTGAAAAATATTAAAATTTGTTGGATTTGATTTTTATCATTTCTTTTACTTGTCCGAATGTAAATTAGAATTGTATAATATTTGCTGGATATTAATTTCATTTACAGATATTTCATTGTAGAATCATTAATGTAATAGTAAACGACAAAAACGCTTTTCCACAACTAGGTTTCCGAGACTTAGGCTGGCCGACTTGCCACTCCTCACTGCTTTTAGAAAATTGTAGAATAGCTCAAAAAGATACACCATAAGGAAAGGAAAGTGTTAGATTTATACCAATAATGCATACCTTTAGAATATCATCCTCTAGCTTTTGGATTAGTCTTTGTTGTTCACTTACGTTCACAGTCAATTCATCAATCTTGGCTTCAGCTGATTCAAGTAATGATGCCTTTTCTGAAAGTTTAAACTGAAAGCAAAGGAATGAGTTAACTATACAAGTAATAAAACTATTCATAGATTTTTCAGCATTTGTCCACAGCATAAACTCAGAGACTCGACCATGTTAAAGCCTGATGTAATTAAGCTTGATGAAGTGAAACCTCTATTATATAACTCATAAATCTTGGTGAGCAAGTAAGTAGAGTCCTGATATATTACAATGTTGTTATTAGGACATTATTAACTCTAATAGAATACCAATACGAAACTATAACCAACCTATTATATAACTCATAAATCTTGGTCAGCAAGTAATTAGAGTCCTGATACATTACAATGTTGTTATTAGGACATTATTAACTCTAATAGAATACCAATATGAAACTATCACCAACCTAATAATATGAAGTTAATACTAATATTATTAATTAATATTACAATGAGGACAGCTGCACCCATCCACAAGCCTGTATCACATACATACCTTCAACTGTGTGAGCTCATGCTCCATTTTCCGGTTTTTGTCGAGAAGTAATGACTCAAGTTTACTCATCTCTTCTCCACTGGTAGCAGCTTCCCAATCTTCAGTCTCAATAGAGTTGTAGCCCACAGCCTATAAATAGAATTCTCTGACTTTAGACTGGGGTAGTGGGGTACACTAGCAATTGTTAATGTGAAAATGAAACATTAAGGTAGAGATGGAAATGAATCAAACAAAGAGACAAACAGTCAACGTCGTCAATGATAAAACATAAGAAAAATGCTATGTGTTTCTTACTAATACCACTCCCAACTTGTTGCTACTTGACGTTGCATTGTATCTAATGCTTTAAAGCAAAAGAAGTGGAAAATATTTATATCCATTAGCTACCTATGGTTTGGTTGATCCCTCCATGACTTGATAAATTGTAGAACAACACAGAAAAACTCCATGAAACAATTAAAAACAAATAAACAATAAAGTAATGGCACGTCAAGTAAGAAGATGTAGCATCACTCAAAACATAATGAGAGTAATGCTTCCAATTAAGAAATTATTTTATAGTTAATATTTAGAAATTGAACTGTCATACCTGTAAGATTTGTACTTTCTTTTTCAAGTCATCAACTAACTTCGTCGTAGGCCTTGTTTGAAGTTCCTTCTTCATTTCATCAAGAGCAACTTCCTGAACATTAGTAAACAAGATACAGTGTCTTTATTAGGGGAAGGATATAGGTGGTTTCAGATAGTGAAATAGAGAAGAGTCTTATATGTTCTTGAGGGCATTGAGCTATGTTTTTACTTTTAGAATTGTCAGAGAAGTATTCTTCATATCAGTATGAGCAGCAAATAAATAAACTGTTTAAGTTGAAAATGGCCGTGTGTAATGTCTAACAACTCAAATCCGCCATAGAACTACAAATCTGAGCTTCAACAGATGATGAAGAAACATATTACTATAGCATCATTGTGAGTTGGCAGTGCATTTGCTTGAGCTTCGAGAAAATATATCCAAATGCACGGTTTATGTACCTTTTCATGTAGTAGAACATTCAGCTTCTTCACCTCATTAATGTGCATTTCTCGCTCATTAGATAAGGTACTCTCCAGATTGTGAAGTTCCATATTTAATTCAGAGATTATCCTCTCCTTGGAGCTCAAAGAATTCTCAAGGATGCTACTTTTGTCTATATTATCACTGAAATTGATACTAGATATTAGATCATGAAGTGCAACCCACTCAAAACGAGCCCATCTAGGTAAGCCCAAATATGAACAGGGGAGACGAACAAAAATAATGACAGACAATATAATAGCACACTGCAAATGGATGCATTAAAGAGGAAGACAGTATTCCTCTTTAATTCCCTGTTTTGCTCTATAAGTTGTCAGAAAGGCACACTATTCCCCACCAAATGCACACTATGTAATGCCGGCCAACTAAAATGTGAGTAGATATCCTACTCACTCCTCCAGATAAACCCATATCATAAAGTGTTAATGGGTGTTCTTCCTCTTCCTTAATCCGTTAAATCATATGAGCCCTCATGTACGTTTACATTTTCCATAGGCTAGCATGAGCAGTACTGAGCGAGCTTTTAAAAAAGGCATATTGTGAGTTATAATTCAAAACTGAAGCACCTTAAAGTACAGAGCTAAGCAAATCATAGAAATGAACCTTTTCTTATCACCATTATCTTCATTAGCTGATTGTAACTGGGAACGCAAAACCCCCTGAATAAAACCATAATATAATTAAGGGCATAGCACCCTCAGATTTATCCAAATAAAGAGCAAAATCAACAGCAATCTAAAGCATAAAAAAACCATCATAAGTCCCCTCTCGGGCCTATCACCATATCAGCTTAATCTGAGATATGATGAGGTTGGTCACATGAAATTAATAGATACAATTAACTTTAAAGTTCTTTTAAACTTTAAATCCATGCAACAAATATAGTGGCAAAGATATACACCGCATGCCCTTCCAACCGCAACCTTCTTACATAAGAAAATGAAATGAAATTTCAAAACAGTAACTATCTTAGGGTTTACACTTGAATGAAAAAGATCATGAAATGAGCTGAGCTAGTTATTGCATTACAAGATTAACATTTGAAAGTCAACATACAGCCATGCACATTGTGATACATAACCAAATTAGCCCTCTCTATATTGATTGTACAGACAAACTGCAAGTGCATCAAACGTGATGCAGCTTTCTTCTTTTGAAACAAGAAACACACATTAGCAATGATATTCTGCAAGCAATTCCTAAACCTAGCAGTATCATAAAATTTACATCTACCATATTTGAAGAGGGCCTGAACATGTCCAAATTTCTGAAATAGTGAAACTTCATATATAAGAGAAACAATGTGATAGTTGTTGGTTAAAAGTATAAAGGTAATAATGATGAATTGTTTTCCTTCGATTATATGTGTGTATACTTGTGATTGACAAAATCACACACTTATAAAAGCCAGAAGCCTAGAAAATGTAGTATTTCCTTTCTTTTGCCAATTTATTATGTGGGGAGGAGAGTGTAAGTATCCCAACCCAACAATATTATAAAAATAGACATAGAAATCAAATAAATGAAGCATATCAGACAAAGTTCACTATTCAGGGTGTATAGCCAGTAACAGAAGCTACTCCATTGCATCTACATTAATACACAGTCCGGGTGTCAAACCTTTTCTCTCTCAAGGCTTAGAAGGCGAGCTTGAGCACGTTCTACTTCATCCATTAAAAGATTTAGTTCTGAATGCTTTGCTGCTCTCTCTTCCTCTATAATCATAAAGTTGGGGAAAGGAAGGGGTTACTCACATGGTATACAGCAAGGGAAACACTTTCAATGAAATTTAAAACACTTATAGGTGATATGGAGATTTCTGATATGATTGAAAGCTGAAAAACTTAATGCATCATGAACGATCAAAGATTAACATCAGCCCTGCACCTGATTGTGCACGAACTTCAAATAACTGGCTCTGGGAAATTTCATGCAATTTTTGCATGTTTGAAACACTTTCTTTAGCTTGACGTAATTGATCCTGCAATAGCTGCTCCCTATCAAATTATCAACAAAAGGGTAAGAATGATACATACTATGTCAGAAAGCATATAGCATGAATAAGAAATACTACATACATAATAGGTTTCTGAGCACTGGAAGTACAAGATACCTTTCTTTTAAAACCTCCAATGTTTTCTGATTTTCTTCTGCCAAATTGCGTTGCTTAATCTCCACAATTTCCTTTACTTTTTCCTCCATCTGCATTGTAAGAAGATAAGTGTGAATTACAGATCAATTCCATTTGAAATGCAGAAAATGGGACCTCAGAACATGCAAAAGTAACTAATGGCAGTTCCAACAATTACTCATGAAAACCGAATAACAAACTACAAGCATTTAAAAAGTAAGATCGATAAGCTGCTCAAGTTATATGATTTCATTACACAATTCAAAATCTTCTAGACTTCATAAGTTAGAAATTCAACAGTCCCTTGTATAGCTGTACAAAATGTAAAGCACTGCATTACAGTGCACTATTTGAGGAGGGATCCCACGCGCCAATTCATTCACTAACCTGTTGTTCTAATTGACGACAGCGCTCTTCAAGCCTCCGTATGGTAGCCTGTTGATTTTTAAGATGAGTTGCCTCCATGCGGAACTCTTCAAGCTCAACTTTCATTTTACGGTTCCCAAACTCCAACTCTGATAATTTGGAATCCTTTTCCTGCATAGACGTAACAAATAATGATCAACAGAATGATAATTTGAGTCAAGAAAATCGACCAACCATATACTTACAGCAATTGAAGCAATAAGTGGATACGGGTCTGGTGCCTCATAAATTTTCTGATAAATGTTAAGAAACGCATTTTCCCCAAACTTTGCTCTTTTGGTAAGATTATCAACTTCTTCTTGATAACCCTTGAGCAAGGAATTAAATAAGCTCAATTTGTCTTCATTCGAAGCTTTCTTGAAATCTGTAACGATGCTGATATAAAGTTTACACAAGAGAGAGTGTAATACTTAAGGTGAATAAAAATCAATAAGCAGGCAATTAAATAAAGCAAGGTAGTATAAGAAGGTATTAGCCACCTAGGTGTACGTTAATCGGTGAATAAGATATTCAAAATCTTCCCTAATGAAATCTTTCAAAGTAGTACCTCGTGTGCTCTCTGCCAGCTTTCGGCGGTTTTTCTGACTGTTCTCCTGATTTTCAGCAATTCTAAGACCTTGCTCATCTAGCACAGTCCTTTCTTTCTCTAAATCAAACTCTGTAAACAGACAAAAAAGAAAAAAATGAACCACGGAAACCAAAAACTCCCTCCTATTCAATTGACTAACAAATGCTGCAAGGAAAAAATCATTTCTTTTAGTCCATCAGTGTACAAGTGTATAGCAAACAAGAAATTAAATTCTTTTATTTGTTATTATTTAATGATATGGATGGAGTGTATGCTTGAACCAATTAGATGGACGAAAAAATTATTAAAGAAAGATAAAATGATTTTTGGAAGATGAAGATGAATGAATAGACATGGACTCAGTGGTCAAGAATGATATGATACTTCTTGGGTTGAATGAGAGTGTGACTTTGGAGAGAGCGAAGTGGAGGAAGAGTATATGTGTGGAGGATTGATCTCGTTTTCTTTTTTAACTCTGCCAATTCATGTTAGCCGACCCCAAGCTCTTTTGGGACTATGGCAGGGTGTTGTTGTTGTTGTTCTTGTTGAAGATGAATGAACAGACATGTTTGGTAAAACTGGATCAAGTGGGAAATAAATATGATTTAAAAGAGCATAGTGTAAGATAATCATAAGACACATTACAGGAAGTCACGTCAAGAGAAGAAGCCATACATGGGATATGGTAGATGAAAAGAAAAGCTACTACTCATTTCATTTATGTGTTTTTCTCTTCATCATTATCTAAACCTGTGGGACTTTTGTTAATACTTCATCTACCATTTGGATGAAATGGCTTCCCAAACATACAGGGAAATGTTTTGGTTAAGCAACTAATAAGAAAGCCATATATCCGAAAAAAATGCTAATCTGCATAAACCATTGAACAGGCTTGCATTTCATATTGATTATTTTCAAAGCACATTTCAAATGTCCATACTCGATTGAGTACAAGGAAACTGATTCTCCTGTTACCATCTTTACAAACTTGAAAATACTCCACCGGCAGATTTGGATTGATTTGTTGATGATTCCGAGTAAGATTTGTGATAATAAAAAAAGAAATTGCTATGAAAATGCAATAATGAGAAGCATTTACTGATGATGAATTTTGACAGGAGTAGCCGTACCTTTCCAGAAGCTGGCGACTGCTGCGATTGGGGTGGAGGAGGAGGAGGACGTGGAGTTGAACTTCTCCCTTTCAGATCCTCCTCCTTCTCCTCCTCCATGCGAGGTGTCCATTTGTGATCTGGCTTAGCTCAATTTCTTAATTCGAATTCAGAGCTCAAGCTCTCTCTTTAAATGCATATATACTACTCACACGTCTATGCAAGTATAGATGAGAAGAACGGTAAGGAATTCTATATAAAATGATCGATAAGAAATCTGTTTCAGGTTGATCCTTAATCCGTTGAGGGTTGATCATCTGAGTTTTGAAGCACAATGAACCCGATCTGAGTAAAAAAAACAGGTTTATCAGAGTATCTTACTGCTTTTTTTTTTTGCTATCTGGTTTTGTTTCATCTAAAATGGATGAATTGTCTGAAATTCTGAATGTTTAATTGGGTCTAATTTTTTTCTGAATGTTGAATTGTTTCAAGATTTAACTTAAGGATGTTTTTACTTGTTTTCAATCTCAAACCAGTTCAGAGCACACTTAAACAAACTAGATCAGATTAGTTCATATCAGATCAGACCAGACTTTCATAATTATAAAATACACATAAACCAGACAAGATTAAACCAAACTTAAATAGACCAGATCAGACCAACAAATTTCAGTCCGAGTAAAAACATTCTTAGTAAGAGTTTGTTTTCTTTTTCCAAAACTATTTCTGCATATCTCTTCATATATTGTGTTTTATGTTTAGTATTTTTTTATGATGATAAAAAAATGTTTAGTATTTTTATTTTAAGGGGTGTTTGGAACTGGTTCTGCTTCTGCTTCTTTTTTAAAACAGAAAAAGAATCAGAATCAGTTTTCAGAAGATGATATCTCTCAGCTTCTACAAAACTGATTCTGGAGTAAATTAGAGCAACAGAAGTGATTCTGTAATTTCACCCAAACATTCCAGCTTCTGAAGAGTTAAAACATTGGACGAATGCTTATCATACTCCGTAATATCTTTTCAATGGTATACATAGTTGCAAGACAGATTGATCAATTTACCTTTTGTGTTTTATGTTTTTAAATTTGTGTTGTTTGGTCACTTTGGTCTTTCCGTCTGTGTGTGTGAAAGATCTTGACCTTTTTTGTATTGTTTATCATTTGTAAGGCTGGTTTGCAACCACTTTAAAAAAAGCACTTCTCAGCTTTTGGCTTAAAAAAGCACTTATTTACCAAACACTACCAATTTTTTATTTTTCTCGGCTTTCGTGTCAAAAGTGCTTTTCCACTTTTTATACACCAAAAGCACTTATTTTACCAAACACTACCAACTTTTACTTTTCAAAATCACTTTTTTCTCAAACACTATCAACTTTTACAAATAATCACTTTTTCCAAATCACTCCAAAAGTGCTTTTTTTAAAGCAGAAGCTGTTGCAAACACTCCCGTAGTCTTCTAAGGGAGTGTTTACAACTGCTTCTGCTTAAAAAAAGCACTTTTGGAGATGTAAGGAAAAAGTGATTAGTAGTAAAAGTTGATAGTGTTTGAGAAAAAAGTGATTTTGAAAAGTAAAAGTTGGTAGTGTTTGGTAAAATAAGTGCTTTTTGTGTAATAGAAAAGGGAAAAGCACTTTTCACACGCAAGCCGAGAAAAAGTAAAAATTGGTAGTGATTGGTAAATAAGTGCTTTTTTAACCCAAAAGCTGAGAAGTGCTTTTTTTTAAGCAGTTGCAAACACTCCCTAACGTTTTCAATGTCAGAAAAATTACAAAATGAAATACAATTCAAAGCAATTATATATAATTATTGTGATTATATATAGTTAAAGCATCTTTAAATTTTGAGAAATACTCGTAGATGTTTCTCGTCGGCTCTCTTTTTTCTCCTTTCTTTTGTTTTTCCTTTGCTCAGCGGCAAGCTTGATTTTTCCGCTTGGTTGCGGTGTTAACGGATCCTTATTCCAATCAAGAGCAATGAAGGTGATCTTGAATTGATTGTCTTCGTAAAAGTGGTCCCTAGCTTTTGTCTAGGGTTTGTTTTTCCGGCAGGCAGCTTGCGTCTTGTCTTGTCGGGCCGGTGAATGATTTGGAGCATAAGTGGGCGGGCAGAGTTTATCACGTTCTGCCTATCCATGATCTGCTTCTCTATGGTTGATGTTTCTGGATGTGTTGCTATGGATTGAATCTGGAGGTCACTAATTGATACTTTCGATTGAAAAATTGTCAGGCAATTTCTGAATCGAGTTCTGAGAATGGGAGAAGATAGATTGGCAGACCGCCCCTCTCCTGAACCACCGCCCTGGAGCGACCGAGGTGATAGGGTTTGGAAGATGATACTTCAAGAATACTGGCATGAAAGAGCTTGAAGTATCTATCATCTGTTTTATTTTTTATGGTCTTACTTTCTCGTTAAGTTTGTTTATGTTGCTCTATTTTTTGTCGATGTCTTTAGTTTTATGTCTACAATAAGGAATGACAATTCTGCTAGATATTATGTCATTAGAAGGATCTATATGGCAGTGATTGTTGTGTCAAACCCGCTTGGTGATTAGCGGTTCGTATTGTCTCTGAGTCTAGCCGTAGGGTTAATAGTGCTGGTTGGTTAGGGATAGTTGTTGTCGGGGTTGGTCTTGGTGAGTTGTTGTAAAGATCCGAATCTTAACGATATTAATATAAGCGGTTTGTTTTGATGATAAAAAAAATTGAGAAATAGATATATTTTTAAACTCTTCTAAGCCCCTTTGATTAAAAGATATACTTTAATTAAGATATGATAATTAAAGCATTTTTAAATCAAAGAATACAAAAATACTTTTTATTAACCACTTATGGTAGTGCACTCTAACAAAAAACATATTTTAAGGCTCTATATAATAGAGTAGATTAGTTAATTGTTTAATTATCATTAGTGTGGGACTCATATTGTAATTATTACTCCTATTTCCTATATATATATCTGTCAGGGCTAACATTATGGTTAAGCCTGGTATTATTTCTGTAACACCCCAAAAACCGGTCTAGCCGGTAAAGCAAAATTTTGAAATAATATTCATTCTTGTTAATCCTAACCGTCAAATATACAATTACTTAATAGACAATAAATATGGTTAATAAAATAGAATAAAATTTACAATAATTAGTATATACGGAACCAACCGTTTTAAAAATAAACTCTAATGACATTCGAAACAAAATGTTGATAAACATGTAGTGGGTCTTTGTAAACTCAAGAATTTATTTATGGGAATAGTACGTTAGTTCGTTACAATAATAACTGATCCAATAACAATAACAATGCTTACATTCACATATTTTTCTTGGCTTCAAATTTAAGCTACGTACCAAAAGGAATTGCCCTAGAGTGCATTATATATCCCACTTGGAAGTCCATGCACTAGAATAAGTATGACTAAGTTGTCCTAACCTGCATGAGACCTCCCACTTGGAAGCCTCGAAATACCTGATGTTATACGTGTTACTACCATGCATATGAGTGCTGATAACCCAATTTGGCTTCACCTTTATAATACGGCCATAATAGAGAAGACTTGGTAAATATTTAATAGCAGTCTCACAACCAAATACCTTTGAACTGATTTACCAAAGTGGCTGAGCAAAAATATACATAAATAAATTTAAAAGAAGAAACTAGGAGATGTGCAGGACGATGAATCAGTGCCGTAAGGAGGAGTTCCCTGCCTAGTTAATTTTCTTATCATTCTTTTCAATAAGGTTAGTACGTTTCCGCCCCACTTAGATCATTGTGTTTATTTCCGTCCCCGTCTCCCGTTGTGTTATGGGATGATGAACGTTATAAGACCTTAGAAATTTTGTATGCTCTAAATATATATGTATTCTTAATTTATAAGGATTTTGAGTTTATAGACCCATAAATCTGTCATAGTTGATAGTAATTACATACTCCGTATGTTTTAATCAAAACGAAGGTCAGCTAGAAATAAAGCTTAGTTCCGTATTATTGAGAAGTAAAATTGTTAAAATTAACACGGTGAGATTAATCATAATGATTCTGTGATATACGAGTATATAGAATATCACGCCAATGGCAATGTCTTTTGCATGAAACCATATACATTGATTAGGATAGATAGATATGTGCTATTATAATTAATTAACATGCATTTGATACATACTAATTTTAAATAAAAACAAATATTAGAAGTACTTATTAAACGTAAGATGTTCATATTAATGGGAGTGTTAGTTGATGAGCTGGGTAAAAGCAAATTTAGGATGCATGTAGCATTATCTATGTAATTATGGGTTTAGTGAACATGCATTGATTCGACACTAAATTACACGGTACAACAGCCTCGTAATAATTTATAATTCAATTCTAAACCCGAGTACTAATTAATACGAAGTATGTAGCATATTTTAATTTTATACACCCCCACTTAGACGAGCAAACCGATTACATGAGTCCCATGAGTAGCTACATACGTGAGTAATATGCAGTAGCTAGCTAGGTCATTTTTCATATATATACTTGTAATAATACATTCGGCCGCAGCATTGAAGAAAAATGATAATATTTGACATCCATGCACTAACTCCATAAACGACCTACGATGGGCATATAGCAGTATAAAATCTTTAGATTTTAGAATAGATACCATGCATGCGCAATAGGTATATTCACATACATAGACTACGTATTATATAAATATTACATAATATGCATGCATGCTCTAGCTAAATATTTAGGTATAATAATAGGTATATGAATTAAATGACACGCATGCATTAATTTAATTAGTGATTTACTTATGTATTTACGTATATATATATAAATAAGTAGTAATTATTTTCAAATTAATAGTAATTAATCTAGCATGAAAATAGGAATATTCATATATATACAGAGGCGGACCCAGTAAGGGTCCCATGGGGTCCCGGGACCCCGTGCACCTCGAAAAAAATACCTATATATATTATACATATATTATATAAAATTAATTACTAAGTGTATATTTACATGAAAAACGACCTAAGAATCAAAAGAATGGAGCAGGGGAACGGTAGCAACGTGTGTTTTAGATTTCTATGTTTGGGAGGGGTACCATGTTCGAATCCCCTATGCTCCTATTTTTTTTTTCCAAAACTGTTTTCATCAAATAGACCAAAACTAAGTTGTTTTGGCCTATTTTAATTTTAATTAAATAGACCAAAACTTTCAGTGATGATTCTATTATAGAATATTTCCAACAAAACTTTCTCTATTTTCCAAAACTATTTTAATTAAATAGACCAAAACTACGTCGTTTTGGCCTATTTTAATTGAATAGATCAAAACTATTAGTGATGATTCTATTATAGAATATTTCCAACAAATGAAGCTCAAGAGGGTACATCTCTGAAATTGTTAAATGATTTTTATATGTATTATTTTGCTTTATAATACCTTAATGTATTTTGGGCTCCTTTTTTGTTTTCCAAAACTATTTTAATTAAACCAAAACTACGTCGTTTTGGCCTATTTTAATTAAATAGATCAAAACTATTAGTGATGATTCTATTATAGAATATTTCCAACAAACATTTTTTGTTTTCGAAAACTATTTTAATTAAATAGACCAAAACTACGCCGTTTTTGCCTATTTTAATTAAATAGACCAAAACTATTAGTGATGATTCTATATTTCCAACAAATGAAACTTAGAATTGTTGAATGATTTGTATATGTATTTTTTTCTTTATAATACCTTAATGTTTTGATGGTGTACGTTAACTATGAGGTGTTATGCTTCTTTAATATTTTTTATTAGTTTTATATTAATTAGAGATTAGAGATATAAAGGGGTAGGGACCCCGTGGTTCTGACTTTCTGGGTCCGCCACTGTATATATATATATATATGTATATGTATATAGATTTAGGATCACATACAAACTGATCTTAATTTACAAAATGCAAATTAATCTTAGCCATCGATTTTAATAAAGTAATGGTGAGGATAGGAAATCAATGCCATTAATGCATGGTCTGTATGTTGTGGTTAGAGGAGAAAATTTCTCCCACTAATACGGATAAGTATTAGTGCTCAAATGAAATCTTACCCTTAATTTTGTTATATTGGACGGATGAGATGAATTTGCATTTTGTACCGGAAGCACACTTTGTATCCGATCTTAACCCTATGTATATTATATATATATATATATATATATATATATATATATATATATATATATATATATATATATATATATATATAGGATATGGGCTACTGGTTACATAAATGTATGTATAAATGAATAAACACATATTGATGATTTAAAAGGTTGGACCAGAATGTACACTTTACTTAATAATAAAAAAACGAAGTATTATGATAAATTGAATGTGATGGTTTAAGTAATTGTTCTTTTATATATATACATCGGCCAGATAATATATAAATTGAAAAAATGTTTTCTAATTGTTATTTTAGTGTATATTCAACAAGTCACTTTTTGATTAAATAAATCTTATATTTGAAAATCATTTATGTACTCGAATAGTTATTTGTAATTAAAATAAAAGATGAGTATTATTATGGAAAAAAAAAAGCCTTGCTCTTGATCCGGTACTCTGACTAGGATACTCCTGTTCTGTTTAGTGTACTATGTACACTCCTGAAATTCTGTTTAGAGGAAATAGTGCTCTCCTGTTTAGTGTACTACGTACACTCCTGTTCTGTTTAGTGTACTTCGTACACTCCTGAAATATTTTTAGAGCACTATTACTCTCCTGTTAAGGTTCGGGTCTCTTCGGTGATTCCGTCCTTTCTGTTCAGCTAGCTTCTGTCAGGGATTGGTACGTGTAGCTCCGGCGATTACGTTTCCATATTCCTTCTGGGTAATGTGGGTACGGACTTCGATCGACCGTATTCCTTACCGTTAGTATTCCTCAGTCTAGGTCCAGATTCCAGAGTTTAAGGCTAAATGAATATGTATCTTTCAATGATAAGTTTCAGAATAAGAATTATCTGATCATTATGATATCTGAATATGCTTCTGTTCTGTACACAAGAAGAATATAATAATTATCTCAGAATAAAATTATCTGACAGTTATGATATCTGAGTATGATTCTATTCTGTATGTAAATATTGTATTTTTATAACAGTTGCTCGGTTCACCCAAGTATGTTATATGTTTGTCTGATCAGATGTGAATTATGATATGTTAATATGTTCTTTGATATGTTAATATTATTGTTATGTTATTACCGTACCACTCAGCACATTGCTGAGCGGGTAGTTGTGTGTTTTCCTACCCGTAGGTTGAGCACGGAACCCGCTAGGAGCACAAGGATGGAAAGAGGCGTAGGACGCATTTGCATGCCATGTTATTTGGTGTTTTTTATAAAGGACTTTAATATGTCATATGTGATTTTAAGAACTTCCGCTGCACACCTTGAAGTATTTTATGATGTTTAAGTTATGTCTGTTTTAATAACATTCTACTCCATGTGAGTTTGACATTTTCTGGTATTTAGTAATGAAGTCGTTTTGGAATTAATACACTTTATTTTAAGTAGTAAAATCTCTTATTAAATGTTTTGTGTTTAAAGTAAAAAAAAGGGGGGCACTATTTCTTGAACCACGAAAAGTATTTTTGATTAAATCCGTTCCGATTTTCCGCCAAGTGACGCGCCACTCGGGTCGGCGGGGTCGGGCCGGGTGGGGTGTTACAATTTCTCACATGGTATCAAGAGTCAACGCCATCTAAAATTTCCCATTTTTTTCGGTCGACATGTCTGACGAAGCCGAACCCTTCTCCGCCGCTGCACAAGCTTCTTCAGCGCAGCCTTCCTCTTCGGCTGTTACATCGCAGGCAATGGTGTCGAGCAACTCCCCAGCGCCGGACGTGATTCTGCCTCCAGTCATCTCAACCGAGCAGCTCTCCTTCTCCTCCACAACATCGTTCTTCTCCTCTCCGAATATTGCTGCCTGGACACCACCGATTTTCACATGGACACCCACCCCTCCTGCAGTTCGTCCGCAGTCCAGCCTTTCTGTAGTTCGTCCGCAACACTCAGGCCTCTTCTTCAGCAGTAATAGCTTAACCCCACAGGCAAGTTCTTCCTCTGCCTTTGCTGGTTCTACTTTCGCAGGGACTCCAGGAGTTGTGCCCCTCTTCAATCCAGGACCGATTGCTCCCCGTTCCAGTTCATTACCCGGTCCAGGTTCTTCGTTATCTGATTTAGTTAAAAGTATTGGTTTTTCTGCACTTAATATTACCAATATTGTCACAACTAAACTGGATGTCGTGGAAGATTATCTGTCTTGGCGTACTCAATTTGAATCTTTTCTGGTCTCCAATGGTTTTTTGGGTATTATCGATGGCTCGATTCCTGCTCCCTCCCCCTATATATTTGATGCATATCAGTGTCAGACAATTAATCTGGATTATTGTAATTGGTTAAAACTTGATCAAACTGTCCGGTTTTGGTTGTTTGCTACTCTGTCTCGTGATGTGTTAATCGAGGTGCGTGAGTGATGAGCACTTTGTCACGGTGCGTTAAAATAAATCGATACTAACACTTATACGTAGTATAGGTGAAGTAGAGTTCGTATCCACATGGAAAGGAATAATTGTCTTTTTAATGGAACAAGTAAATAAAGGGGGGTTTTGGGATTGAGCGATTTAATTTAATTAAACACGAAGATGAACGACTTATATGAGATTTAATTCAAGAATAAAAAGGACTTAGTCTTGCTACTTTCCACTTGTTGATATATTTTAGTCGATCATTGTTATATCTATAACTTATCCCCTCTCGAATACTCAATCGAGGAGTATCTCCAATTCATCGAGGGTAGTTATTAACAACGACTGTTCATTAATAACCCTTACTATTAATCAAATATAGAACAACGTTGTATACTGATTTAGTAGTAGCATTTAAATCTCTTAAACTCCTTGATGAAATCAATTGAGATTGATAACCTCAACACAACGGTTTCGGTTTAACCAACAAAATTAATCTCTCTTAAGTTTATTAACCACGACCGTGCATTAATAAACCGAAGTTACTTACTTGTGAAACCATCAACGATTAACCATCGGTTCGTTGATCGTTTCTAGTAATAATTAATGTCGGAACGTTAACTAATCGTCACTTAGCAACCCTCCAACATTAATATAAAATGAGATTAAGGGAAGAATTAATAATCAAGAGAAGAAGTTAAGAAAATAACTCACAACTTTAATAATCAACAAGCTTCAAGAGCAAAACCAAGAAATAGAAGTTTAGCTCCTCATTTGGAGACTAAACATGCTAGAAAAATATAAAGAAATGATATTCTAAACTGAGCTTAGAAGTGTATAGGAATTGATGATCTTAATGGGAAAGAAACGGGGTGTATTTATAGGCTTTTGGAGGCTGCAGGGTCGTGTACCCGATCGAGTATATAGGGTACTCGATCGGGCCTTCAGTTGTTTCGCGGAAGCTGAAAAAATTGGGACATGCCCGACCGGGTATGTCGGCTACCCGATCGGGTATGACACCTGAACGTGGTCAAATATCTTCCCGCATGATGCCTTGTTCCCGGATCCGATCCGATTTGATTTTTCAGCGACGTACCCGATCGGGTATAGGTCATACCCGAACGGGTACAACACAAAAATCAGGATCTCCAATTTATCTTGAGATTTTTGCACCTTCCTTCCATTTGTGATGTCCACCAATGGTCCCTAGAGTGATTTTGGACCTGTTTGAGCTCAAAATAAACCTAATATAAACTAATTACAAACATTTTACAAACTAAACTATTACACCAAAAGTGTGTAATTTCCAAAGTAACAATCAATCTAAACTAATTAAAAATACAAACATAAACATGGAAATTAAATGTCAGTGAGTTAAAGAATGATTCCGCTATTTGGGATCTTATGGAATCCCACTTTATGTCTGCTAGCTTTGCTCGGTCCATGGAACTTAAACACCAACTAACTCATTCTCCGAAGATTCCTACTCAATCCATGGATCACTATCTTAGGAACATTAAAATCATTGCTGACAACTTAGCTATGATTAATGATCCGGTTGCTCCCCGTGAACTGTTCAAGACAATCTTACTTGGTTTGGGTCGAGACTACGAGTCTCTTATTACCTCAGTTGGTCGGTTTCCGGAGAGCTTCACATATAATACATGAACAATGAAAATAAAGCTTCAAAATTTGAATTTGAAATTAGTATGAAAGGGAATTTAAAATTTTCACCCTTTAGGATTTATGATTGTAAGACTGTCAAATGTATGGTTCAACTCAAAATCAAGCCACAAACTTGTTGAATGGACTAGTATGAGATTGGAATTGATATAATAATAAAATTCGTGAACAGTTTATACTAATATAATAATTTTTCATTATTACACACCTTCAATATATGTTGGGGGGAGGCCGGGAGGGGGCTATGTGATAATTGTCATGAAAAAAATACACAGGTGATAAAATTTTTGTAAACATGTCAATTAGTTGTTGTATGAACATAATAGCACTGAAATCTTCATGCACAACGCTCTCCCGAACAAAATGACGATATGCTTTTATAATAGTGCTACAAAGTCACCTGACAAAATCACATGTAAGACTGTTAAACACTTAGGATGTTAAACGAAAGAAAGTTTTTCTTTCGATTAACGTTTGTAATTTTTAAAACTGAAACTGCACCAAATACTTTGTGATCCGATGACATCACTATGACACTCCTAAAGAGGATGTCACAAGTTCAAATTCATCCCATTTCAAGGATGATGGCTTTAACATAGAGTACATGCTATAATAGGTTAGAAAGCCTAGCAAAAAAACTGAAATTGCATGCCCAGTTTTACTTTGGAACTTTAAACATGTCAAGAATCTAGATGTATACAGTTATACACAAAGTTCCTGAAACACTAGAGTACATTACATACTTCACCGTCTTCACACATGATAAGATTTCTAAGAAGCAAAAAGAAACAGTGGCCCGTATGTGCACTTTCTCATACCACTGCACCCTCAAGGGATTCGCCTGGGTAGGGAGAGAGAGGCTGTAGGAAGCACTAAAATATGTTTGATACTAATGACATGTATGAAGTCCAACAAGCTTACTTGGACCATAAATACTGAGAGCACTAGCAGTAATCAAGAAATATCTAAAGACACTCTCATTAGTCCTTACCCCTATCTTATCACTAGATTGGAGGGGGCCTCTCATGCATAGCTCTTGCGTGGTTATAAGAGTTAGAGACCGAAGCATAGAGCCAATTATGCAATAGGATTTCCAAGTTTCCTCTCACCCAATCAAACTAAACTTTCTCCAAGTGGTAAGCTCTTATCTTTCTTCCAAAACTTCATATACCGCATCAACCTGGACCAACACCCACTAGCATCATCTTCTTTGCCGGGTAACTCAACGGCAGGTTCCTTGAACATGGCTTTTTCGCTTAGCTCTTCGAACGCATCCACAAGGTTTTGGAGTCTTGCAACAAATTCAATGAGCAGTGAGGTGAATGTTGCCAAGGATAAGGCACTCGCATTCTCGTACGCCTTTGATTCTTCTTCTTTCTCGGGAACTATCATAGGGGTGGTGTGTGAATGCCTAAGTTCCTGCTTCTCTAATGTGATTCCTGCTGTTGGATTGAGACATGAACCCTTCACATATATACCCTCATCCCAACTTGTCGGCATTTGAATGGATGTCAGATCAAGCCCGGCTTCGCTCAGGGACTTGACATAATGGCATCTTGCGGTGTCATCATCCATGGTGAAAAATTCTTGGGGAACAGTGATTTTGGTGTGTGGTTGCCTCTCTCCGATTTCCCAGCTTTCAGCATTTACAAGAAGGTAAGATTTCTTGTCTACCTTGTTTTGCAACTCTTCTGCTGCTTCATGAACTTCGGCGAGTAAATCCACAGCGCCCAACTTCTCCATTTTTTTCACTTTCTCCCCGAGTTCTCTCAATACTGCAGCACCTGCTAACCCTACCCTTTGAAGCTCACTACGGAAGACTTGTCTTCTTTCAGCAGGAGCCTACATATGCATAACGTGAAACATTATGTTTCTGTAAATAAATGTTAGCATAAAAATGACATTACTTGTAAAATGAACTTCCCATAACAAGCGGGGAAGGAATTTAAAAGGGGGGGAATTGACTAAAAAGATTAAAAGAAGAATTATTGACTACTGTTATTCCTTTTTAGGACTGAACGAGTCTTTCTTATAACAAAACGACACTCCTATTTGCGCACATGTTTTTTACCTGAAAAAATGACTCATGTTCTACTCTTATTTGAAGTAATGTATAATTTTTAAATTCATTCTACTAATCAATCTAACCAAGGAATTGTTCAATTTGGTGGACTTAGAATATACAAGTAGAAAAAAATAAAACAACATAACAAGTGCTGCTTAAGATAGCATGAAAAGATTCACATTGTATCTTTTTCATTATTTATAATTTATAAAATTATAATGTATTCCCTCATTTCCATGTATTACAATCCGGAAAAGTGGAAAACTCTTTCTTTTGTCTCTTTATTTTCAGTACTTATTGGGGGATAGACTTGAAGGATATTCATATAAGATATGATATTATATCATTTCATGTTTGTCTTGCTTTTAGAAAACACTGTATAATGAAGTCAGAGTACATACTTTTACTACCCCAAGTTCAATGTTCTTTTTCTCTGGAATTGGTGAGTGCTTTATTTTAATTACTTACATTTTGGATGCCCTAGAGGCCTAGAATGATTATGTATGATTTATGTTTTCGTTCAAGATAAAATTTTAGTGTGCGATCAGGCTAAAAAAATGTCCGAGTAGAACAGCCTACCTGTATTTCTGAAAGAATACAGCCATGCAGTGCCATGACCATGAATGCACAATGCCTTAATGCCCCACTGAGCTTAACATAATTTCTCCATGGATATGCAAACATTTTGTATGGACCATGTGGTGGTTCCCAGATAGCAAATCCCATCTGCAAATATATATAGTAAAAAACAATTTAGTTTATTAGTTGTGATGAAAATACTGTGGGGACAATGCATGATCATACCAGAGCCTCCTCCTTGCTTGTCGACTCTACTGCTGTTCTATACCCACTGTACACCGGATCATCTGAAGCTTGGTAGGTGAGTATTTTCGAAGGGATCCTCTCATATTCTACACAATTCAGATACCCATTGATGCAATCTGAAATGAAGAAATTAAGTTATCACGTATGAAACCATAATTATAACAGAACAATAACAAAATGGGCTATCTAGAAGGGAATAGATACCGTCGCAGAAACCATAATTACAACAACAAAAATAATACTCCGTAATATTTAATATTCATAATGACAATAACAATAATAAGGGAAAAGGTTCAAATAGACCATTCTACTATTTCAAATCCATCACTTGAATCCTTATACTAAAAAAACTACCCCCTCCGTCCCGCTAAGATTGTCTCATTTTACCTTTTCGGTCCGTCCCACTAAGATTGTCTCATACCAAATTTGGTAAAGTTTGTGTGGCTCTAAATCATTATTACGTTATTCTTACTTTATCAATTCAATATCAACAACATAAACCATTTTTATTGGTTTGCGTGTCACTCCCTCTTGTTCCATTGTCAGTGGGACGGAGGGAGTATCATATAAGCACACTTACTTTGAAAACACAAACAATCTAGCCATCGTGACCTACTATAGCAGGTATTTTCAATAAAATAAATTAAGAAAATTGACAAATCTTATAGAATTTCATATATATTTTAAAATAAAGAAATAGAAATACAAAAAAGTAAAAATGAAAAAATAGAATTATAATTTAAAAGGTATAAAATCAAAATTTAACATCTTTTAAAAAAATGGAGAATATACAAATAATATCAAAAAAGCAAAAAAAAAAAAAGATATTGACATTCTTAGGTTTATTAGGGTTTTTTTCTATCTATTCGAATTTTAAAAACGTTCTTAGATTTTCTTTCAAAAAAAAATAACCTACTATGACATGTCAAAAACCATTAAATGGTCTGATTGATTAATTTTTTAAAGTATCCATACTTATATAGTTAAATGATGCTTTTTCAGTATATGAGCTTAAGTGATGGAGTAGAAAGGTTTATTTGAACCTTTTCCCTAATAATAGTGATGATTATAATAATAAAAGAAATTGACCTTCTAATGAAGATGCAACGCCCTTGAAATTCTTTGTGACAAGGTTGTGAAGATCCTCGCCAGCCCAGATAGGAAAAATGCAAATATTTACAGCCAAAGAAACACCGGCACCAAGCGCAATTAGGAGGAATCGAGTGACAGCTGTATGAACAAAGTCTCTGGTGCGATAGCCCGACACCATTATGAAGCAATATGTTATCAAGAAGACGCGGAAGCCATATTCATATGGCTTCACCTTTGGTAGCATTTTAGCATATGTTATGCATGTGCCTAACAATCATATACCAGAAAGTCATGCTGAGGAGTAAGATTCACAACACTGAGACAGAGAACCGTCAAGAAAAACTAAAACTATACCTGCGATAAATATGCCTAAGATTATAACAACTTCTTCCCAGTCTCCAGCCAACTGAGATAACCCAGCCATTGCTAGAGCAAGTCCTCCAGCTGACAATGTCCCTAATCCACGGTTAAATCCTTTGCTAAGAGTGGCACCTGAAAGGAGAATGTTTGTCATCCTAAATTGCAAGTAACTTTTATAAATCATCCAGACAAGTTAGAAAAGATGGAAGCTTCCTTATTCCTTAAGTATTACTAATGAAATATCTATTTGACATAGAACATCAATTTATATTATTAGTTCATTAATATCACCAGTGCTCCAAACCTGCAGTTACCAGAGTTCATCTAGCCCATGTAGAGGTTAGAAACAGATTTGATGATCCTGATAAAAAATTAAAAAAATTAAGGAGAAACGCCAGAAAGGGAAAATTCCTGCAATCTAATGAAACTTATTTTAAGATCTTGATGCACAATTCTGAAACCAAACATCCCATTTTTGTTTTCGTTTTTCTAAATCCACATCCACCACGCTTACAGTGGAAAGAAAATATAAAATTCCAAGTGTGAAAACGAAGAGAAATTAGGAGTACCTATACTGAACTCGAACACTACAACGACAGTAAGAATTGCCCACACGGAGTATCTACTGAGCTCTTCGACGGGCTCCTTGAAGAAGATGAGCAGGGATATGAGCATCAACGCCAGGCCCATCTTGGCGGAGAAGATGACCTTTCTCGGGTCGGATTGACCCATCTGCCAGGCGTTCCTGGCGACGGCCCGGAAGCTCTCCCATAGCTTCACAGCCTTCGAACAGAGCCCGAAGCGGCAGAACTTCGGCTTATCTCTGTAGTCGAGAAGAAAACTCGAGAGCTCGGAGGAGTCGGCGTTGCATCTGGGCGAGAAAAGCCTCTCCCTTTCCCTCTTATCCGCGAAGCTCTGCCGAAAGGACCCCAATTTCGCCGTCATTCCTCGGCTCTGCTTCTCTATCTCCGGCTCTAATCCATGGAAGTCCTTCTCTTTATTGACATAAAGAGACATGTACGGAGCATATGCGTCTGTCGGGGGTAGAGGATGCTGGTGGGAACAGAAAGCAAGAGGAGTGTTTTTGTGGTGGACGGAGTCCTGGTAAAAACAGTCCAGGTACGGGAAGGAAGAAAGCGCAAGGTGACGTCGTTTTTGATAACATATGTTGTTGTGAATGCGCTGATGACGTGATGTTGTCGTTGGTTTAACATTGCTTCTGTTGCTAAATTCGTCATAAATTAACTTACGGAAATGTGCAAGTACAAGCATTAAATTCATCACTTTCATCAAGGGGCATAAAAACCGAATCGAACCCGTACTGAATCGGCTCATAATGATATCGATCTGAATATCTGGTATTTGAACAGTTTTAGCTATAGAATTTTATTCTGAACCGAAATTGTATCGTTTCAAACGGATACGGATCTGAACCTAAATTTTGAGAACCAAAAAATACAGGAACCAATCATTCAAAAATAACGCATTTGAGATTTTTATATTTTTTTTATACTAATGAATATCTTTTATAGACTAAGTATGTATTCTTGCATCCCTAGAATAGCTAAATGTTTGTGATTATATAAATATTGTTATTTTTCCCCTAGATAATTTATGTTATATTTAATATGTAATGAAAGAATGCAAAAGTTTTAAAAATCATTAATGACTATCAATTTCTAGTAATGTAGTGTATATGACTTTTTGTTGTGTCATATTTGTGTAGTTTTAGAAATCAATTAATATGGTTTGAACCTTAGCTCTTACGGTTCAACTGTGAATTAAATTAGACTCATATTCAACCTAGAACAAAGAAGAAGAAGAAGAAGAAGAAGAAGAAGAAGAAGAACGTTAAACTTTTCTACAGTATTCAACAATTTAATGATTGTCTTTTTATATTTTCACATGCATTTAATAGAGATGATATTTATTTAGTGTATCGCCATTTTGCTATATTTTTACTTAATTGTGTTGCACTATTTGAGTATTTGTGAATCTAAATACAAAAATGTCAACCTCTTGAATCTTTTCTAGTATTTAGTATGCTCTTTAATTTCTTGTATTTTTATCAACATTTCATATGAATTGGTTAGTGTGATGATAACTACTAATTGTAAGATTTGTCCAAATATTTCAACATGTGTTTGGCATTATTGTACCGAAACGTTTTGTATCACTCTGAACGACATGGTACTGAATGGTTCCATCTTTAGAACCAGACCTTTAGAAACCTCACAGGTACATTGCGCATACCCCCTACTTTCACCAACAAAGAGAGGATGGACAAATAAGAGAAATCACGTGATATGTTCCGTAAGGGTAATTCTACACAAAATTTGTACACAAATCGTACAATATTTGTGTACATAGACATTTTGGCAAAAATTCTCTCCCTTTTCAAATGGATTGTCTGTATACACTGAAAACTAAAAATTTGTAAATAATTTGTATACTAATTTTGTGTACAAATGTATTTTTTCCGTTTCGTAATCATAACGCCTAGCTGTGGAGCTTACACTAATGTTTGTAAATGGTTTTGTTTCCATTCCAAATTCGACCAGACAATACCAGATATATCAAATCAGACATTCACTAAGAATATACATCTATCGGATCGTACCTTTTCAAAATATCAATCCAATTAGAAGCATCCTATAAAAACATTTGGGGTCAGAATTTTGGACTATGTGGCTTAGTTAGGGATAAATAATTTACCTTTTTTAGGAATAAGTGTGTGTTTGGTTATCCTATTTTTTGTTAGTCTTGTCAATCAACATTTTCATCAAACACGTAATTTTTTATTTTGTGCGATGAATTGTATGATAATCAAAATAAGTAATGTTTTTGGCCTAAGTTACTGTAGAGGGTCATTGTAGCCATTTTTTATATAATTTCTTTTTTATTTTATTAATAAAATATATTTTAAATACTTTTTCATAAATTAATAGCACCGGTCACTTCAATCGTAATTTCATAAATTGCAACAGATCAGTCGATTCAGACAATTTCAATGTCAACAAACGAATTCTAAATTCCGCTTGTCCTACAAGTATTGCATCAATTTCGCAATTGATTCAACTCTAATCGCCTTTCGTACAGTGCTATTGGTTTTCATTCATACGTACTTACGGAGTATATGATTCTTTTTTTAGTTAAACAATTTCCTTTTATTCACTTTTTTTGGAGGTAGTATAAAATAGTCCATACGTATTGTATATAAAAAAATTGGTATGATGTATTAATAGGTCATATGTGTTTTATAGAAAATATATATTTTTAGTTTCTTAATTAAATCGAGTTTTTTCGGTCCGGGTCGGGCTTAAAATTTTAGAACCCGAATTAGGACCAAAGTTTATTTTTTCGGGTTCGGGTATTTTAACCCGAACCGGTGATTTTTAAAATAAAACCCAGACCAAGTCATATATCGGGTTGGGTCGGTTCGGTTATCGGGTTTTGGGTCGGTTTTTCCCACCCCTACTCATAAGATTGACTTGGATTTCTTATCAAAATAACCCCTCTTCACTTTTATGATAATCTCTTTAGAAGAGCAATAATGTTGAGATTATATCATTATATTGTTAAAATCTTAAGGAAAAAAATTAAGATTTTGTCCAAATCTTAATTTACGGCATTGCGCAATCCTTTCGGGCCGAAGTGAACAAAATTGTTGAAAATCTTATTTGAGCAATCCTTTCGGGGCGAAGTGAACAAAATTTCTACATCTATTTATATGCTTACCATTTTAATATAAGAAAATGAAAAACTAATAATTTCACTTTTTATCGATTTTCCTATAATAGTCTCATATAACTGTAGTCCGATAATAATCTCACATTTGCATTTCACCTTCTTTCGTCGGATCTTGTCCGATGACTTGTTATTTCAGTTTTTTTTTTATGTTTTTCTTTACAAATCATTAAACCACAAATCACACCTTGTACAAACGTTCTCACATATGATTTTTCATTTTTCCTCCTAAAAGTTTTCTCTTTCTTTTCTTTATCCTCACAATGCTTTTATTCCATTTTCCTCTTTATTTTCATTTATTTACCTTGTTATTGTTTATGTATTCCTTTATTCTTTTATCATAAGTGATTTATATAATATTTTTTTTACTGTTTTTTCCTTTTTTTTCTTCACCCCATTTATATGTTTTCTTCCTTTTTATGTATTCCTCTTCATCGTAGTCTCTTTTTATAATTTTATACGGCTACTTGTTTACATTTTCTTTGATTTTTCATTTCTTTTATTTCCTTCTTCCTTCTATTTTCCTATTTCTCCTTATATTACGGAGTAGAAGTCATTGTTTCTTTTCCTCCTCCCCTTTTCACCTCCATCTATTTACATTAGACCATTTGGACTTTGGAGTGGTGTGAGAGTCTAAATGTTAAAAATGGATTCCGTTCATATGAAAACAGTGTTTTGACTCCTATTTCTCTGCATTCCAGCACAGTCAATAAAATACACTCAGCGCATTTTTTTTACATATCACTTTATTAAAACATTAATTAATTATTACAAGTAATATTTTCCCTTTAATTTTTTCTGCGATTAATTATAAAATAAAAAAGACATATTTCGATATAAAAATAAATAAGTTTCATTATTTATTTTTTTACGTCTCTCGGTTAACAAAAAATGAACTTATTTCATGTAAAGTTAGATTATGAAATATTCACTTATTTGTGTTGGTTGCATGAATTAAAAATATGTGTTATATGATTTTTTAGGCTCAAGAAAACTTGAACAGTTAAAATTTTAAAAAAAATCCATTTTATATATTACATATTGGTGTCATATGAAAAATCATAAAAATTCATGAATTTTGATATATTTTTTGAAAAATTTGGAGGACAAATTAAAAAGTTACAAAAGATTAAAAGTTTTTGGGATTATAGTGACATCAGTATGACATCACGGTGACATCAGCGGAATGCATAACCTATGCACGAGGAAGCGGCCTACTTTTTCTTTTCTTTTCTTTTTCCTTTTCTTTTCCCCTGTCAATCCTCCCTCTATTTTTAGAACCCTCCATTCACTTACCCACTTTTACTACCCTCTATAACACACCACTAAATGAAATTAGGAGTCCAAAATTTCCATCTTTAACATTTTGGACTCCTAATACATCACCACTCCAAGTGGTCTTAGTCTTGAATCTGTTAGAAACTTCTGACATGTTGTTTTAGCATTATTATCTTTTCTTCTCTTTTCGACTAATCACACTTCCCTCTATCTCATTTCATGTAAAGAGTATATACATGCTTTTTCCTTTCTTCTTTCTTTCTTTTCAGCAATTCTCTTGTTTTCTCTTAACTTTCCTTCTTCGCTGGTTTTTTATTTGGAGATTTTTCATCATATCTAATGGAATTAATGTTGATCTCACTTAAAAAAACATGTTGATGCAGAAAAGAGAAATAAAAACTAGTGGTGGAATTAAGCTAAGAAAAAGAAAGAAGAAAAATAAGTGAAGTTAAAAAAGAAAGTAAAGTAAAAAATAGTAGGGTGAGAAAAGATCTTTTTATAAGAGAATTGATCTGAAAAATGACCTAGAAATGAAAATGAAATAATAAACGGGAAAAGGAAAAAGAAGGGGAAAAAATGAAAACATAAACATGAAAAAGACATAAAAATAAGAAGAAGGCCACAAAAAAGAGATCAAAATAGTCAAGAAGATAAAAATAAAGGGAGAAAACTTTAGGAAGAAAAAAGAAAAGGTATATGATACGTGGGACCATTTTGAGAAAATTTTTGAAATGTTGGATTTATGATTTAATGTTTTGCAAAGAAAAGGAAAAAACCTTAATATCATATTATCAATCGATAAGGGACCAATGAAAGAAGATGAGATGCAAATGTAGAATTATTATGAGATTACAGTTAGGTGGGACTTGGGTGGACCCGATCCGACGGTCCAGCCCGGTCCTAAACCGGACTAGGTCCGGAATTTCGGGTTTTGGGCCGGAGACCGAACTTATCCGCCCTAGAGCGGTTCATAATCCCGATTTACAATTATGGGGAATTGGGGATCAAATCGGGTGGTTCTAGTCCCGATTTCGGTCATGGCCTATATTTTTTTTGGTAAGGTTTCAAACCGAGGTAAAAAAAAATAGAACGGGAACTGGGTTAGAGACCAGACCAGACCAGCCGGGTACTCGGAAACAGTGGCGGATTTATGTTTTATATTTTTTGAGTTCAATTTATTCATACAATGAAACCTTCAAAGAACAATAAATAATTAAACAAGATCTATACATATATACTAGCAAGTTTTTCAAAATTTTAGGTGTTCATAAGCACACCTTTGAACAAAGTGGCTCCACCACTGCTCGGAAACGCCCAGACCCGAAACAAAGCAGGTCAGACCCGGGCTGGAGCAATTTTTTGGAATCGGGACCAGACCGACAAGGGTTCATTCCTAAGTAGGACTATTCTAGAAAGACGGGTAAAAGGTGTGATTATTAGTTTGCTTTTCCCTTTTAATATAACACATAAATGATACATTTATACGTGGTATTAGAGCCTATAAAACTCAAACGAACAATCAACCGGATAAAAACTTAAAACTGACAATACACTTTGAAACTGATAAGACTTCGAAAGGCATATATATTCAATCAATGGGAAATTTGAACCATGGTTCCTATTTGTTGCAGCAGGGAAGTTAGTTTTTTTTTATCTTAAAACTGTTCTTAAAAAATGCTTTACTCTTCAGAGATAACCATGTGTATAAAGGCCATCAGAAGTGGTTTGGTAATGATTAGCTATATAACCATGCGCACAAGTAGTTTGGGAGAGTGGTAAATGGGGCTTGCTAATGCCTACAAAAGTAAAAATAGGTCGTGAGTTTTTTTTTTTGGACAAAAATAGGTCGTGAGTTAAACATCCCAAAAAGTGTAAATGGTAATGAGCTTCAGGTCAGGCTTTCACACCAGAATAAGAGTCAAACTATACAAACACATCCCAATTCTTAAACCAAACCTGGAACTAGTCAGACCCAAAGTAGCAGGTACTTGACAGAGGCTCCCAGGAAAAATACAGGAGAACATGCAATGTAGTTACTAGTTATCAGTTCACCACACCCATTCACTGTATGCTAATGTTTTATACATATGCAGTAACACACTTGTAAGCTGGGCAGCAAACTAAGGACTTAGCACCAAACATTACCTTGGAATATTAAACAAAAAGACTCACCAGATTAGCAGGGTTTTCTAAATAAAGAACAATCGCCTTACACATGGAGAGGATGTCTTCTGTGAAGTCGTTCGGTTTTGACCATCCATAACGTGTTTTAAAATGAAATGGAGGGCCTCGTCACTTCGTCAGTCTGGTGAAAATCAACTGTGACACGTATTTCCTTTGAAATTCAACAGTGACACATATCCCAGATTGACAGTCTGGGAATCATTAAAATAGTGGTGACAATCTAAACATTAGCGGCTCTTTAGAAGAAGGGACAAAAATATTCCTTTATTTGCATCAAGTTCAAATCCATATCGCTCAATTGCAAAGTAAAGCAAAGTAACTGAAGAAAGAAACCAGTACGAAGCCATTGGCGTATGCAGAAGTGAGTCAATTACAAAAAGGTCTTGTTGTAGAAAATAAAGTGAAATAAAAATACAAGTTATACTGATGCAAGGCAGGAACCGAACTTGTACCGTTTATATGTCAAATACACCAAATGGACTCATTTGCCTGCACAACAAAGCACATCTGAATTTCAGCATTATTTTCATAACTTTAATTATGAAAGTTGTCTTAATGAATCTCTAATGGTCACAGTTCGGATTTCTACACCAAGTATTTACAGCATTTGTAACAATCAAGAATTATGATCCACTCATAGAGAAACTGAGATTTATAACAGGGACATGACAGGATTGACCGAAAGAAACGTGTCTCATGCAGCTATGGTTGAACTTACTAGAGCAGTGGAGCTGTATTTAAAGGTCCACAAAACCACTGAATGGCAGCACTTCCTTTTAGTATCGAGGTCAAATCATAAATTATGAAGATAATAAAGAGGGTCTGCAGAGGTTAGTTATGGAACTCTAACCTGCTCTTGTAGCATGGAAAGACCGAAGGATGTTTCTCTCCCAAAAGGGGAAGGAGACTCGCCTCATGTAATCCACATAATTAAAACAAATTCCTCAAATCAAATTTGTATGGGGAATTCAGAATGTTGGGAGTTCTCTTTGGGCTAAAAGGCTCTCCAAGAACTCCTTGAGAAGTAACAGATCATGGAACTAGAGGATTCAGAAATCCAACTTCTTCCTCGTTAAAAATATAGCAAAGGCCAAAGATGAACATTCAATAGGGTAGAGAGGTACTCAGGTGCTCAATCCCTACTTGAGTCATTTTTATTAAAGGAAAATTGAGATCCTACAAATAGAGTCGTAAGAAATCAAGGACATGGAAATAGTCAAATGGAGCAGTATGGTCTGGTACTCTGGGCTCCAGTGTGAGAGTAAAATATTAGATCTAGCATTTGTTTTAAGAGTTTATTAAGACCAACACTTTGGAATTATCCATCCTTTTTGTTTTACCCCAGTCATTTCCCAGGCGTTGTCCCCATATATCAATGGGTGGTGGACTGGTGGTGACGTGATCACCACCCAATGAGTATGTGTCACATAGGAACGTATTTTTTCTTTTCCAATTTTAATTTCCCTTGTTCTTTTATTCTGAAAAGAAATTAGAAAAGGAGGCATGTTTTAGATGTGTCTCTGTGTCACATCAAAGTGTCTGGTACATATTTATAACACCGATTTTGTGATACAAGTGCAAATTGTTTCAGTTACATTGAAAGGGAATAAGGTGTTCACAATGATTGATGAATAAGTTGTATCGTATCAAACAATTATCATATTGTTTTAGTTTGAGCTCAAATTTGAGCTTAGCAAGCTCCCAAATCAATTCCAAGCTGAATTTAAAGTTCAAATTTTGTTCAAGCCAAGCTCTAGCATAGTAGTATTCAGTTTGATATTTTTTTGCTATCAAAAGGTAAATTCTATTTATGTGAAAATTTGAAACCTTTGGTATAATTTTGTAGTTTTAAATATGATCATTAACAAATAGACCTCATAATCACTCATCAGCAAGGGATATGTGATTAGTATTTGCATCAAACCTCATTTCTTCTACATTCATATATGTTTGTCGAGTACTTGAGTGTCAAACATCTATTGAGTGTCAACAACTATTTGCATCAAGTTTGACTGGGCTCATTAACACCCCAAGATGGAGGTGTGGGACTCCTGGCTCTGACAGCCAGTGCATGCAACTTAGATCCAGATATCTCGAATCTAAGGGTATCTCGAATTTGACCTACTACTTAGATGGCTTTAACCTACTACTTAGATCCAGATATCTCGAATTTCTAAGATGTGAGCCTGTAAAAAGAGATTTTTACAGGGCTATATCTAAGAAAACTTTGCAAAAGTGTGATGGACTGATATGTTTTTGCAAACATGGTTAGAGTTAAGTCTTTTGCAAGCTGTAGAACGATTATTTGCAATGGTTGTTGGAAAGAAGCTTCTGTTATATGTGTGTACTAATATTCTGCATGAAAATGAAATAACAATTAAATAATGGAAAAATAACTTTAAATAATACCAACTATCATCCATGAACCAATAATAATACAAACTTCGAAAATGACTTTTAATAATATCAACTAATTGAATGTCAAACAAAAATGATATGGAGTCATTTTTTGACAAAAAGCCCAATCATTGAAGACATCAAAAGCTAATGACAATCCATCAAATAAATGATATTTGGAAATATATTCACTAATTAGATATTTTCATACAAGCTTTTGATGACTTAAATGGTTGAATTTTTAGTAAAAAAATGCTCTATATCACTTTTTATCTATATTTATATAGTTGGTATTATTTAAACTTATTTTCAAAGTACGTATTATTCTTGGTTCACGGAAGATAGTTTGTATTATTTAAAGTAATTTTCCCTTAAATAATTAAGGAAAAACGTAAGATAACTTGTAACCGAGCCCAACTTAAGCATTGTTTCGTTAAGACGTTTTTTCCCGACACACGTAGCCAACGCCTCCCATGATAGAACAGTTCTTTGCTCCCAACGGGATTCCGGCAAACTCAAAGATGCAAAGAAGGAAGAGAATATGGAGGATTGTGTGTTGATATTAGATTTATCAATACATAGCAAAAAAATAATCTATAGTCTTTAGCCATGCGGAGTTGACCGGTCAAAGACCCGCACCCGACCCAGCCGGACAGCACCGCGCTCGTGCAGAATTAATTCCACGCTCATCGTATACGGGTCTCACCGCATAACAAAACTTCGGTGCCCCAAGACCCAACCCAATAGCTAAGCAAAGCTTATACAAAGGCACTACCTTAACTCTCCATTTTCGGCGTGGGACAAAGTCCTTTCCGAAACTGATTTTAGGCAAGTTCGGGGAACAATTTCTCCTTCATTTATAAATGGTTTTGAACACTTCAGTATATGGTTGCATTCACTTTTCAGAGTACTATAGTTGTGGATCCTTTATTTATTTTAGCTCGAAGGTGATCATTATATTATTAAAGTAAAACCATTTTTCCAACAGCTTCATGGTGCTAAAACTCAAGGTGTTTTTCTAGACTATAACAATTAATCATCCTGAAAGTTTAATACTACCTCCGTCCCACTAAGATTGGGACAATAGAAGGTGGCACGACTATTAAGAAAAGCGGGTTTGTGTGGTTGATATTAAATTGATAAAGTAAGAATAAAGTAAGAATGGTTTAGAGCCACACAAAGTTTACCAAATTTGGTATGGGACAATCTTAGCGGGACGGAGGGAGTATGTAGCAAGGTGTTTTAAAGTGAATAGGATTATAGGAATGTGTATGTGTTGAATGCCTTTGAGTCTATCAACTAAAATTTTGAGAGACTTTGCAATAAGGAATCTTAGATTCAGTCATTAGTCACAAGCTCAAGAAGTTGTGAAATAAACTAATGTATTCACTCATGTAACAGTTGATTTATTTTTTATATTCCTTTTTAAGTATAAATGACTACTACTTAATTGCATAAAGTTGATTACTTGTTGATCTAATTTAACTAAAAATAAGTACTTGGCGGTTTATTCAATGTGAAGGCACTGGTTGGGGAAAAAATGACTACATGCTTTGATTCTTGTAAAGTAAAACAACAAATTATCAGAGAACTGAGACCAACCATTGGTCCAATTAGTTTAGATGAGGTGGACGCAAATGAGCATTTGTCTCACATAGAGGAGGATGCAAATGAAGAATTAGTGTTAAATGATCCAGTTGACTCAACTTGGGGTGAAATCAAAAGGTTTGGGCCGTAGAAGAGATGTCATATTGGTAAATAATGCTTGTAAAAATTTAAAGGAGAAGATTCAAAAAATGAAAAAAAAAAAAACTTATAAATCAAAATGAAGGTTCATGCACAAAGAAAAAAGAAAAGGAAAAAGGAAGAAAAAGAAAAGGAAAAGAATTCTGATATTGGGAAAGAAAATGATGATGCAATGTCTTCCACCTAAGAAAGAAAAAGCAACTTACCTCCTAGAGCAGGTCATCTTCCGGTGAACTGGCTGTTTTCTAAAGTACACACGGGTATGTGACACTTTGTTTAGTAGTTAGTACATGAGTTAATTTAATGGATTGCTAAAATATGAAGGCTTATATGACCCTTTTCCCTTTTTAATACTGAGAACTTTGATTTGATGCTTGCCCATCCACATTACTTTTTAGTAAAAAGCGACAATAAGTTTTGCAATTTAAATTTAAACCAATTTAGTGCTACGACTCTATGTTGCTTTGGTGCACATAACAATTAAAAATTGTATCCATGGAGGGCTCCTCCTCTAGTTTGATTCCATGATGACTGCTGCCTCATCATAATCCAGGCAAAGAGTTATCATAGTGGATGGCAAAATTACCTCCTGCCATAGCCTGCTATTTTTTTTATCAAAAAATTCATATGGCGGCCAGCTTATATTTCTGCCGCCAACATGGCCGCCATCTGACAACATTGCAGCACTGCATACAAAGAGGAGGAATCCAATCATCTAGGTCATTCAAAACGACAGCCTTGAGTGAGTTGAGTCCATGACTCTTGAAGTCAAGAATTTGATGGCTGCTTCTCCCTCATCTACTGGAAGGACAGACCAATGGTACTTGCATAGTTTAAACAAAGAGAGGATGCCAACCATGGATGTCTCTTCTTTCCATGTCAATGATGATGTGGTTCAATGCAAGTTACCAGTAAATGGTGGTAAAATTATTGGCCTCGCTTGAATATTTGCATGATTTACAAAAATATAATGGTTTAGTTAAAACCTTATTTAGTTTCAACATCTAATAGCACTTAAGCTAAAGGTACCTCTCCGACCCTTGTCTGAGAAAAAACGTACGACTGAAGGTACAATTCACTAGAAATGTCGAAATAAGAAAGCTTTAGGTTAAGAATTCACATTAACCGCCAATTACTATTATTCAACTTTCCAAGATTTTTTGTGACATTCGGTACAAGATTAAGTATGCTAATATAAGCTTTAGCTTAGGAGTGTATTTGTTATACACCGGAAAGGATATTACAAAGGTATTATAACTTTATCATAATCTAGCTCAAACCAACTAATAGTTTTAGGTATAGCTTCCTACGGTGACCATCATACTTATACCTAAGCAGTTACACCAAATTGGTTTATACGGAGTAATATTTAACAGATATATCACACATTATATTTCACAAGTATTCCAATTATTCAATTTCTCTTCATAGTTCGTAAAAGGAAATTTTGTGTGTTGAATTTCTAATCATGGATTAACATCACCTTATCCTGGTCTTAATGATAAGAGAGTGAACTTTGCTCAACGATACCTGACACCAATTGAGAGAATAGCCAAATTCATTGCGACTCGGCCTTAGGACCTGAAATTCAAAAATCAAGCTCGAATGAAAATAAATCATGCGGGAATCCCGAATATCGGAAACCAGGAAGTTTGAGAACACAGAATATACCATGGAGAGATGGGGGGCGGTGGTCCTTGCCCCAGCCGACGCCACGAGTGGCGTCGAGGTACTGCTGGACGAGGTGGCGGCACTTCTGGAGGTGGTTGACACCCTCGATCCGGTAGCACCAGCGCACCTTCTCGCGGAGGATCTTGGCCTTCTCGATGTCGACCCACTTCTCCCGCACCAGATGCTCCCTCATCTCTAGCATAGCAACCGGGTCCTTATATGGGTTCTCCGGGTCGAAGTCATCCGGAGCTCCCTCATCGAACACCACACCCTTTTTCCTCCCCATTCTCAATCCCTCTCTCTTGCCTCTCTCGCCCCCTCTGTCTATGGGAGTGTGGAGTTTTTAGAAATGTGAACACTGCAGGGCTTGAGCTTGTTGGAGACTTTGAGCTATGAATTTCGTGGCAACTCGTGCACCTAATTAGGCAGAGCAGTTTGTAAACTATGTTTACTTCAAAATTTTAAAATAATGTACATTTAATATTAAAATGTCAAAAATAATTCTATACATATATAGACACACAAATATTCATTAATACAAGTATATACTCCCCCGTCCCGCTGTGATTGTCCCATTTTATCATTTCGGTCCGTCCCACTAAGATTGTCTCGTACCTTGTTTGGTAAAATTTGTGTGGCTCTAAATCATTCCTACTTTATTCTTACTTTATCAATTCAATATCAACCACGTAAGCTCACTTTTATTAACAATTGTGCCACCGTCTCTTGCCCCAAACTTAGGGGGATAGAGGTAGTAATATAATACGGAGTATGTGGAGAGCTATACCCCTACCACGCCCTATACCATGTACTACCACCCCTACCCCACCCTCAATTCCACACCCTTGACCCCTACCCATATCCCTTACCACGACCTTATCCTCTACCCCTACTCCCCCCTACCTTCATACCTATACCCCTAACACCTACCCTACTTGTAGGGGTGGGGTCGACGTAAGGTCAAGTGGTATGGGGTAAAGGGGTAGGGCCGGGATAGGGTAAAGGGGGTACGAATTGAGGGTGGAGTAAGTGTTCAGGGGTAGGGATGTAGGGGTGGGGTCGAGGTAAGGGAAGGTGGTAAGGGGTCGGGCCATGGGGTAGGGAAGGGGTTACGGGAGGAGGGGTGGGGTGGGATTAAGGGGTTACGGGGGGGTTGGGTAGGGTGGTAAGGGCTAGAGGTCGAGGTGGGGCCATGGTAGGGGCATGTGGTAGGGGGTTAAAGGGGTAGGGTCAGGGTAGGGTAAGGGGTTACAGGTGGGGGTGAGGTAGGGTGATAGGGGCTAGAGGGTAGGGGGGTAAGGGGTTGGGGGATCGAGGTGGGGCCGAGGTAAGGGTATGAGGGGTTGGGTGGGGGTGGGGGTAGGGTGGCGTAGGGGTGGGGTCGGGGGTGGTGCCGAGGTAAGGACATGTGGTAGGGGGGTCGAGTGGGGTAATGGTCGGGGGTAGGGGTTAGGGGTAAGGGCAAATGGTAAGTGTAAGCGTAAATTCGGAAACTGGAAAGGCTTAAAGTGCCGCTTAATTATTACATGAGGGTGGTATGCTTACTAAGCGGCACTTTAAGCACCCTTTCGGTTAGTAAGCAGCTTGCGTGTTTACTTCACATGTCTTACTAACCTAACTGTGACTTTAGCAGCGAAGTAAACACCTCCTTAGTAAAGTCATGTATTTACATAAGGCGTTATACAAGGACAATAAGGCGTTATATAACTCCATGAAATTCGGCTAACTCATGTTTAAAATCCCGTAACTACTCATATTTGGGGAATAAAAATATAGGACAAATTCCCTATTCAAATGATTAAATCAAAGGTTATTATAATTGACTCAGAGTATAGAATTGCCCTTCAAATCAACCAATAGTGGTAGTTTATGAGGGGGACGAGTCATTGATAGTGTCACAGACAATTTCAGGGGGAAACAGTAACATTTGAGTAAAACATATTTACAATTGAAAGAGTGTTCAATAATAATTAAACAACAATATATCATGTTGTAGCAACTACTGTTGAAAATTTGAGCACAAATCACTCATAAACAAACTTGACAGGATAGCAAGAATTATAGACACACTAGGGAATGAATCACCGCCCGCTCATACGAGCTCCAAACAACTTCTTAGACATTTTTTACAATTATAAGAATAAAAAATAGCAATTCGGGAAGATGAGTCAAAGGGGGCGGGTAGGATTTTTTTTTGCGGCCCATGCTCTCAACAATGCGGCAAAAACTTAAATGTGAGAATCACGGGGAAAAAAACTTGTTGAAGTTTAGTCTCGTAGATCCGAAAGCTCAACATACGCTTTGGATATTTAAGGATGTTTGTTGTGGTTAAAAGGTGTATAAAACATTAAAAAAAGTGACATATCAATGAACTCGAGAGCTAGCTTGTATTACGTAATTCTGTGATTACACTGAAACTACCCGAACGGTCTGTCGGTGTGAGTTCAAATACAAGAACAAGAGAGATGATTCTATTTCTAAGCTCTGAGTATGAAAATGCTAACCCTTTATAATGCATTAAATGCTGATATTTATACTAAGAGGGAGTAGATGAGATGGACATGTGGCCAATCTCAGTTGGTTATTGCCTTTGCCACCTCTGTGCCCATGCTCCTACTTGTTCTCGCCATACTTCACCATTAAATGCGTCTGCCACCTGCTGATCTCTCGTTTGGGACCCCGTTCGGGGTGCAGGCTCTCTTAAGATAAGGTTTAGATGACAGTGCTTTATGAATTACCCCTAATTAAACGAGAAGTGCCGAATGCCGGTCGGGGACCGCGGCCGGGGTGTTCGGGATTGCTTTGGGCCCTATGTTCCCTCTGGGTCTCTCTCTACTTTGGGGCGGATATATTGGGCCTGGATCCAATATCCCAACAAACCTTCATAAAAGTTAATAATAATAATATTATTTTAGTAAATAGAATTTACATGTATTTAGAAACTACATTAAAGGTTTTATAGAATCGAAAAAACAATCAAATTTGATAAAAGTTAGATATACAAAAAAAATTAAGAACAATTTAGGTTAACTAGAAATTAGTGGAAAGGAACATTTGTCACCAATAAAGGTAGTATCAATTATGGTGTGCAATTTTGTGTACATCTTTGACACATTATTCTCCAACATTATATATAAAGACCTTTTTTAGAAAAATTGTCACTCATTTAACTCTAAGGTCATGCATTTCTCGGTCTATGACCTCGTAGCTTTTTTTTTTCAAATTTGATACGTGAATAGATGTCTGGTCTTTTAGTGCTATTATTATTATTATTGTTATTGTTATTGTTATAGTCATTGTTATTGTTATTGTTATTATTATTTCCGGCGGTACCCTCAACGTAGATTGAACAATTTCTCTTATTATCTTTTCCGTTATATATGGCTATATGCTGCTTAGCATTACACACTCCTACATATTAGTCATCTGGCCAAAAAACATTACGTAGGAGTTATCCATTTATGTTAACCGTTGCATTAATTTTTTTTATATTTTTCGGCACCTTAATTTCTTGATTCCCCTTACTCTATTTCCAACCTTATTATATATTGTTGGGCTGCGAGGAAGTCATGCCAGCAGCCCGGTGCAATCGAAACGGGACGCTTTACCTTCATATCTTAGTCAAATAATTTGCAGCCCCATCATATGAGTCACGTCCTTCTGGAAGACTGAATAAAATAAGAATTCTTTCTACACGAGAACATGTTCTGATAAAAATGTACTTAATGTCACGCCCCGGCCTGGCCGAACGCGCTAACAACCGCCGCATAATCCGATTAAGGCAACCGCAGTTCACCCTACTCGAACCATGCAAGGCGTACATGAATACCATTCACACTAGTACATCCATAAACAATCATAAATAAAGCATTTCAAATATACGCAGCGGAATACAAATACCTTTAAAAAATAAAAGGCCACACAGGGCGAACATGAGCACGCAGGCTCCCAAATCATTTATAATTTAAAAATAGTCCATGAGCATTATTTTATTTATATCGAAATAGAACTGGAAGAAGCACGAACCACGTCTTCTCTCCATGGATCACCCGAAGCAACGGGAACAGGAAGCAAGCTCTAGCTTCTACCTGAAACTGTGAGGTGGCCTCCCCCGTGAAGGGGAGGTCAGTACTTGGAAGCATTTGACAAGTACAATGACAACTATACTGAATATAATTCATGTTTCAAACACAAGACCCTCAAAATAGGGTGATACTATATTATGGGCATAACCTACAGCTACCCCATTTCAAATCACTTGTATAGAATATATATACCAAGTCAAATAGCCGACCCGTAGGTCCATTTGTATTTCAAACAATTCCCCTTGTATAGCCCTTGGCCTATTCTTGCATATCAGGGGCGTAGCCAGGACACTGGGCTAGACTGGGCCGGTACAAAGAATATTATTGGGGGAAAAATTACACGAAATTTTTTACACTAAAAATATTGACATTTTTCAAATTTGGGGTGGGCCAGGGCCTAGCCTGGGCACCCCCTAGCTCCGCCCCTGTTGCATATAACAATCTCGAGAGGTTACCCCACCCCTAGTCTAAACCCAACTCCATCGAGAGGGTTACACAATTTATCATTTGTACTCGTCCACGTTGGACTTACCCACCCTACGGGTGTATTCATTCATTTTGGGCTTACACCCCAGCATAATATCTTTGATTCATTTAGGGCTTACACACCCCGTATATTCTTAGTTTGTGTAGGGCTTACACACCCCGTATAATACTTTACTCATTTAGGGCTTACACACCCCGCGTAATACTTTACTCATTTAGGGCTTACACACCCCGCGTAATACTTTACTCATTTAGGGCTTACACACCCCGCGTAATACTTTATCATGTAGGGCTTACACACCCCGCGTAATACTTTATCATGTAGGGCTTACACACCCCGTATAATACTTTATTCATTAGGGCTTACACACCCCGCGTAATACTTTATTCGTGTAGGGATTACACACCCCGCGTAATATCCTTTATCTCGTTAGGGCTTACACACCCCGTATATATCCCCGTATACTCATTGTACACGAGTTATCATAATCTATCAACCTCGGGCTAGTCTTCATCAAGACTCCCCGGGCTGCCTTCATATAGTCTAGGTAGACTCCACCATTTCCTTTGAGTGTGACCATAGTCCATCACTCATTCTAAGTTCATGCATATCTAATTCAATACTATAGATAGCACATACAATTAATCACTACGGATTCATATCACTTTGATCATGTCAATAACTCAAGTATTCCTTACTTCACATTTAATCATTTTGCCTATCCACATAGGTATCCATATATCCCTTTTAAGATCTTATGGAATCACACATTTATCAACATTTGTCTATATCATGCTAATCCTCTATATCAATTCAATAATTAATATATTTCAAGGATTTCTCCCCTC